TACCTGAATTCATGGTTATGTTGATAGCAGAAGGCCTTGGCTTGGAGAAAGAAAGTATTCTAGAAACACTTCTGCCATGTCCTAAATAAATAGTTCATCCCATCTTGGGAATCCCAGAGGGGATCACTACATTATAACAGTAACTGATTTTCATGAAAATCAGTTGGAATTCTGTTCAGTGACTATCTAAAAGGCAGGCAGGAATGTATTCATTAAAGTTTAGTTATATTTTCATCAGGATGATTAAAATTAGTTATATGGAGAAATTCAACAATGTGGAACAAAGTCACCTATGAGGAAATTTTCATTCTTGAAAGATAAGCACTTAGTTTAGTACTTTGCTAATAGGCTTTTTGAGGTGTTGTCTGCCACTTGCCATCTTTGTCTAGACCAGCACTAGCATTCTAGGTTGTTCTTTGGGTGAGAAGTATAAATGGAGAAAGGAGGTCTGGCATTGAATCTTGTCTTTATCACTTAATTGTATTGAGATCTTGGGAAAGTTTTCAGTTTCCCTGAGCCTGTTTTGCTACCTGTGAAACAGTCATATTACCATTTCATCCCAGAATTTTTAAGGAGAGGATTGGTGAATGATCTTGGCATAGTTAATATCCTTTTACCATTATTTTCCTCCTACTTTGATCCTGGTAGGCAACTTGCTGTGTGTCATTTGGCAATTAGTGATTTATTGGCTTGGCTTCTATTGGTGGGATAGCTGTTGTGAGGTATGCAGTCCTTCGTTTTGGAAATCCTGGGAGCTCAGAGAGAAGTAGATATTCTTGCTTCTCAAAAACAGTGGGGCTCCCATGGATTTTTGTCTCTCTACATATTTTATGTTAAACACACTTATTCGTCCCATGCGGGAAAAAGTTAAAAGTGATCAGTGACTTGTCCCTGGGTCCCTTTCCTAACAGGTGGTCCTAACTTCAGGCTTCTGTGTGCTGTGTAAGCTTCTCTAGCTGAGGTCGTGATAAGATCTCTTCCAAGTCCTCTGGAGTTAGGATGTGGCTGGAGTCCAGTTTCTTTTGTTCTTTAACCTTTCAGTTGCAGTGGCCTTGGTCTGGAGAGTTGTGATTTGTCCTTGGTTAGATTACGCACATCCAATACTTGGCTTTCTTATACTCTTTCCCTCCCAGTTTTGCCTGACTCTTAACTTCTGTGGGTTCTTACCTTTAAAAGCTGACTACTTGGAAATGAGAATTCGGTTGCTGCTCTGTGATTGTTCCTGCGTCCTTCCCATCTCTGAGGTTTTGTTTATTGGCAGCCTATGTTCCATATCCTGCTGTTCTCTGCTCAGACCTTATCAAAACAATATTTAAGATGACAGATTCGTTAAAGACTCAGCTTTGACTTCTCAGAAATAAGACTGCATGTCATTCTCATTGGCCTTAGTGTTTCCTAATCAGGGCTTAAACCCTAACTTTAATCTGTAGTTCTGCAACCTATCTTACTTTACATTTTTAGTAGTACCTGAAACTACTTCGAACCAGTGACCTGGATTCAGGAATCTCTGGTTTCAAAATTGCCTCTAACTTGCTATATGACTCTTAGCAAATAATTTAACCACACTGGGCCTAAATTTACTTTTAACCTGTAAAATTAGGATTGGATCAGTTTTTCAAATGTTCTTTGTTGTTGGTTGGGGTGGGATGGGAATGACAAGAAAGCTCAGTAGATAGGCTCTTCATTCAATGAAGATTTTGTTTATATACTGAAGGCTTTCACTATTAAATAACTTGGAAAAACTGCTGGACTGGATGGTCTTTTAAGACTGCAGGTACCAAGCCTTTGGCACTCTAGGATCCATCCCTTTTAACAGTAGCATCTATTTTTAGATGAGACAAGGATACCTAAGCTGTATTACAAATGTAGTTCCAGACACATCATGCACATCTAGTCTGGTTCCTGATACTTTTAACCAATGCTCTGGCTTGGCCATTCCCGTAGTGCCTGTCCTTTTCCTTTGGCTCATACTATCCTCCTCAGCACAAGCATTATTTGTAAGCCTCCCTTCCCCATTTGATACTACCCAATCAAGACTCTAGTATAAATGTTCTGTCCCTTCAAGAAACCTTCCCCAGTTGGCCATTTTCCCAAAGTACATTTTCCATTCTCATGACTCAGTACACTTTGCTTTGTTTGGTGGTTTTATGTGTAAAGCTCAGAGAAGGACTGGATCTTGGGTTTCTTTATTGTAAACCATCCCAACACCTTGCATTGCACTATACTGAAGGTAACATGGATCCAAGTCATATGGCTTAAAAATTCTTTTCTCTTTCAGGATCGAATCATCAATTTAGTTGTTGGCAGTTTAACATCCTTATTGATTCTGGTAAGTATCCTCATTTTGTGCCTCACCCAGGCTCTTAGCCAAAGTTTTGAAAACTTTATCAATTATAATTAACTTTCCAAAAAGTTAAGTGCTTTTATTACCACAAAATTGCAATTGCTAATTGGAGTAGCTAATTTAATTCCGCCGCACCCCCAGGTTGAATATGTGAAATGGTACAAGTCAGACAACTTGGTTTTCAGATAATTGAGTTTACCATGTTTTGCCTAGTAAATTTGTAAAAACGTCAGTGTAGCCACTTCCTTCTGTCATCATCTACCTTAATTCCCCATTTCTACTAATTTTGTTCCTAAAGAACATATCCATTACCCTATGGTCAAGTTTTAAAAGATGTGGTCACAGTGTATAGCAGTTTTACTGTATACATACTGTAAAATACATGTGGGAGCTATCACAATAAAATTTTTAAAAGCTGTATTTTCCATAGTTTGACATTTTTCTGACACATTTTCATTAAATTTGATAATTTGTTTTTTCCATGGCTTCTTAATGAAAAGATTGCATATAATGCTGCATCTGTTAGAAACAGAACTACACGATATTAGGTCTTTCAGTGTGTTTCATAATGTTATAGCAAAACCAGCTTTGATTATATTCATTTTGCTAGGAATGTTTAAAATAACAAAATAGCTAGAACTTTTTCTAGTAGAATCATTAATTCTGGGAGTGAGGTTTAGTTAAAGAAGTTATTTTGGGATCAGCTAGTTTTACTAATGTTTTCTCTCCTTTCATAAGTAAGGGAAAGGTTAGAAAAGGAGGAAGTACTAAAAACTCAAACATATTAATAATTACTCTAACATTCTAGAAAGCAAACTTGGTGGCAGATGTAATTGTTGCCTAGACTCCAGTTGGTAATTACCAAGTCTTGGAATTACTATTAAGGCCTTACATAATTTCTCTTCATACAGGTAACGCTGATCAGTGCTTTTGTTTTCCCTCAACTACCTCCAAAACCGTTGAATATATTCTTTGCTGTCTGCATCTCTTTGAGTAGTATTACTGCCTGCATACTTGTAAGTACTGTTGAGAATTTAACCAGTGTTCTTGAGGGTTTAAGTTGCAATGCATAGGACAAAAATTTTCAGCCTTGGGTCTATACAAAAGGGTATCTCTTAATTATATCCTCATCCTCTCCCTAAAAGTATGTTAGAATTGTCAATAAAATCTGAGTTTTCTCCTAAATCCCAAAGTTGTAACCCCAAAGAGAAACTCTTACTCCCTTGATAGCTAAAAAAAAAAAGAGAAAAAAAAATTAGTGGGAAGACTTAGGTGGCCAGATATTTTAATTTACTTAATTCATCTTCACTCAAGGACTATATGAGGACCAGCAGTCTTCGGGAAATGCCAGTTACTGCTAAGGGATGAGATAGCACACTCTGGATTGAATTCTAATGATTACAAAATTAGTCTATTTTAATCTACATGTTTGTCTCCCACAGTGGAGGTATTAACACCAAAACCTCCTGGGAAATCTGAAGCTACAGTTGTAAAAATGTTTGATTTACTGCAAATGTTTGTTTTATGGTAAAGAAACAAAGATGGTGGTGGCTCCTCAGTGTTCAATCATTCATTAGTTGGCTACATTGTTTCATGTTCCTTGAGAGGCAGAATCAAAAGAAAAAACAATTGTTTTGATCTCCGTTGGGCTTAAATCATAATAGTAATTTGCTTATCTGAGTTAAAATTAAAGAGGAGACATCTCCAAGTATTCTAATTCACTGATCCTGCTATGTACTCCCATGACCCGAAAAAGGACTGGCCCATCGCACTTTGGGAGCTTTCCTGTTCCCCTAGCTTGAAGCCTAAAGTGACTAACAATGAACTAACTTAATCCAGATATACTATGGAAGCCCTATTTTGCAGTCTGAACCAATTGTATGAATCATATGAGTCTAAATGTTGTCTTCCTTTCCTGTTAAGTAGTATGTCCAGGTATATGTTCTTGGATAGCTTGCCAGATGACTGGTAGAGTATACAGGTTTGAACATAAAGGAAAGTAAACTGAGAAAGTAGGAATAAGTATGATCTTGGATGTGGAAACTCAGAGTAAGAATTAAATTCTGACTGCACTGGTCTCAGGAATGTAGAGATGTCAGAATATGGAGAATGTCTGTCTCATTTAGGGGAATAAACAAATACTAATGAAATTTGAAATTGGTAGAAAAAATGTTATGTTTTAAATTTTAACTGTTTATAAACTTTAATTCTTCTTTTTTTAGATCTACTGGTATCGACAAGGAGACTTAGAACCAAAATTTAGAAAGCTAATATACTATATCATATTTTCTATCATCATGTTGTGTATATGTGCAAACCTGTACTTCCATGATGTGGGAAGGTGAGGCTGCCAAGGAGAATTACTTACCAGGACTCTTCAAAATGATACATTAGGACAGTGAGTAATTTTTGGATAAGGTATGCTGAAGAATCTCCTGCAGAAGTCTGATACATGATTTTCATGTTAATTGTAAATGTAATTCCCTCTTGCAAGGGAGACATAGCCTAGATCACTTTGCTTTTTCTTTAAGGAGCTGACGTTGTACCTAAACATTCCAACCCTTAAAGCTCAAACAGCACAACATTTCACTTTTGAAATGAACATTTTTATAATGTAATTGCACGGCAAAAGGCTATGTAACAAACAAATCTTGCATTTTAAGACAAATATTCTTTTATTTCTGTTAAACTGAATATACAGTTGTTCCCTAGGCAACCGACTTTTGCTTATAACTACAATTTAATTTCACGTTAACAAAACAGACAGTGAAAAGACAACTTTGTGAAGATCTAATTACAATAATAAATAAAATAATTTATACAAGGTTTTTTTTTCCTTGACTTTTCTATAGGGGTCATATTCATTAAAAAGCCCAAAAGGCTACCTTTGCCTTAACCCTTCTGTAGTATAGGAATGACTCTTAGATTTGTTTCCTTTTGTTATAGAAGCAAATACTGTTTTTTTAAAAATTGCCTGAGATGAGAGGTTATATTGTACCCCACCACCTAACACACTAAGTGGATGACAAACTATTTTCTGGGTAATTTATGTTGCAAAACATGTAATAAATGGTCACGGTATCAAGGATAGGTAACATTACTTCCTTCCTCATTTAGTTTTACTTCAAAGTGCTAACTTTGTAAACTAATGACAGTGGTTTCTGAGGGGGTGAAAACTGCTTAGATTTTGGTGGGTTTTGTTACTATGCTTATCCATATTCCCTTTAAAAGTAACAAAAAACCTGTAGTGAATTTTAACTCTTTTAATGCTTTCCTGTTTACCCTGCCTAAATCAGCTCCCACTGCCAGCAATGGGTTAATCAAACGTAACCACCACAAGACCACCTCCTAGGTCTCTGTACTTGTATGCTGGTCAAGTCTCAAACTTAGTCTTCTTGAAGATCAGAAGATCACTGGTAAGCTCTCATGTTGAAATGACTTATCTGAACTACAACCAGGCTTACTTGAAAGGAGACAGTGCCATGTCTGATCTTTAGAGAAACTGTATTTTAAACCACAGCAGTTAAGCTTTCGTGATTCTAAACTTTTCTTCGTGGCTGAAGTGAATGAAATTCCTTATTGCCATGTAACATTAAACATAGGGATTTATGCTTAAAACTCCCAGCCTCCACTCAACTACACACTGTCATAAAACTCAACTTCAGATGATGTATTTAAAGGAGGTAAGAAGTCATAGCAGCAACAATGTGTGGCTTAAGCACTGTGGCTATTTAAATTGGTAAATTAAGCCTCTTGGGGGTTGCTCCTATTTCTTTGAAGATGTTGTAATTAACAGTGTGGCTTCTTTGCTTGAACTGCCTATTTCTAAGAATTATCCTAATGACAGTTTACCAAATCTTCGACATCCTTTGAATCTTCTGAAACAGGACTGCCCAAGGATGATCCAATGATATTTGATTCTTCCTGATGATGTTGGAGTATGGGATCTGTAATGAGTATCCAGTTAGTTTTAAATGTATATATTTATTCTCTAGTCCACGTCAAGAATTTAAGGTATTCTACCACGGTGTAGAACTTAAGACTAGTAGCTTATTGGATCAAGAAAGACTGAAACAACTGAATTAAATGTCTGATTTTCCCACCTAAAATTTATCAGGCACATAGTAAGTATTATATTACAGTACCTGTTAGTGTTGTCAAAGGCAAGACAGATTCAGTATCTATAACATCAGATGTCTGGATAAAGCCATGTGGTGAAGGAACGATAAGTATTGTTTCATCATCAATTGTTTGATCAACTTGTTCTTCTATAGTGGGAGACTCTAAACCCTAAATAACATTAAAAAAAAAGAGAGATTGACTCATATTCCTTACTAGTCTTCCTTAAAATCCCATGTGTAGGTTAAACAGACTTAAACATGACCCATTTAAAAATCAGAATATAAAATAAAAAGTTAAGGTCTCACAGGGACAAAAGACCTCACGATCTAACATACCTTTAACAAAAGGAACTTACAAGGACTGGGTCAGTTATAGGTCAGCTGAATATAATAGAAGAAACAATGCTGTTACAGTGTAGGATGATATTACTAACCACTCACAAGAAAATGCTTCTATGGGTTCTAACAAACATTTCTCAATGTATTGTAGGTAAAGAGGGAAAAGTTTTAGTGAGGAACTATAGTAAGATAGAACATGGTTTTCTTATTCTTCCTGACTGCCACAGATCTCTGCCTGCCTATTTCTGCCAGCAACAACACTGTGAGGTCTGAGGTAGGGGTTTGAGCTTAATTTCATGAGTCTAAAGAAAAAAGTTTCCCAAACTGCAGGTTTGAGGCTCAAGGCAAGAACCCACTGAGTTGTTCTTTAAGTACAACTTACCTCGGTAACATAAGCACTGGCTAAATCAGAGGGTGATTCCTCTTGTTTAAGGTCGGTGTCAGAAATTTCTTCTTCTGTTCTGACCATAACACTATTCATCAGTTCTGTGCTATTTTGGTCACTGAATTTGGATACATGAGCATCATTAAATGATGGCTCCACAGTCATCTTAGGGTGATGAATTTCATCTGGGAAAGTGTCTGCTTCTAGGGCATCTGGAGGCTCAGGAAAATCAGATGACTGAATATCACTATCTACTGTCAGTTCTGCTTGGGATATGGAAGAAGTGATGTCCTCTGTGGCAACAGTCTGAATGATGACTCTTGGTGTGTGACACTGTACTGTAACATTATCACTTGTGTTCAACAAATGTTCTGGCTATAAAACATTAAAGAACCTGTTAAAGTTGTAAATCAAATGACATTTATGGGGGTACCTCACTGTCTCCCCCATCTCTTACACCTCTGGAACTGTAAATACTTTTATCACTATTTTTCTACAGCCCTTGTCCTTTACTTGCTAGGGCCTTTGCTCTCCTAATGTCCCTATTCTAATGTATAGCCATCTTACATAAAGAGAAGGGATGAAACATACACTCCAGTGAAGGCAGAGTGATGGTGTATAACACTGTGCCTGGAATAGCAGCAGTGGGAAGAACTGTTTAGATAACTACCTTATATTTTGGTCCTTATCAACTAATCCTGGTCTATAGCAGGTGCTCAAAAATCAAGTAATTTATGTAACATACGGATAAAGCATGAACAATGATCTGTTCAGGAGAAGCAGGAGCAGCAGCTGTCAGGGTTACTGTGGGACTAGCAGTCAGAGTTAGGGGAAGGCCTTGGCTTGAGCTTGTTTGAAGTAGGTAGGTGCCTGGAGTGCCAGTGGGCTGTAGATGGAAAGACTAAAGGAAAAAGAAAAAATAAGATAATTTAACAATGATTAAGTCTACCTTTATATACAAAAACAGGGACTGAGTTTAGTTTACTAGACACAAACGTACTTACCCATTGTGAAGCTGCGAACAAGTAATACAATGTAGGGCATAATTGTCTCAAGTCATTACCTAGCCTGAAGGTTTAAGAGGCTGCTCTTTGCTCCTGTGTACTTCTATGGTCTGGTCTCAGCTATTTGTTTCAAGGCACCAAGACAGTTGTATGAGCCACTGTTTCCAGTGCAGTAACCCACGACACCCAATCACCCCTCTTTTTCCTTTCTTTGTAGCACGTAAAAACTGGCAGTCCCCCAGTTTAAAAAAAAAAAAAAAGGCACAACAGCAGTGTTTACTTGAACACTTTTTCACCGTATACTTTTGGGAAATTTTTCTGTACCCTGTCCCTTTCTGTAAAATAGTAATTAGCAATGTTTTGCTGAAGGAAAAAGATGTTTATCTGAAAAAGCTAGTTAACTATTAAATAATACATTTTCTTTTGAAATTTTTAAAGGAAGTATAATGAAATTATTGACCAATAAACTTTTCACAACCATAAGCTTCTATATAAAAAATGTGATTTAGGTTTATCTTAATATTCTAAAAAAGTATTTGCACTTAAAATAGGTCTGGGGGTTAAAATCATGTAGCCTGTTTTTCAGTCTTGTGGACTGAGCTAAAACAACTCTCCTGGGTACTAAATCCCCAAATATAGTTTTCCTTATTGCTAAAGTGGAGATGGTAGCTACTTCTCATGGAAAGTGTTTGGGATTAGAAATGATTATGAAAGTGCCTGGAACTCTGTGAGGACTCAATTTCTTTTCTATATTAATCACATATGGTGAGGCATTATTTTAAATACTTTATATGTACATGCATATATATGTTTTATTTAATATATTTAACTACATTTAATTTTGACAATTTTTTGAAGCTGGAGTACTATTATCCTGTTAATAAGGGAAAGCCTAAATATGGTGACCCCATAAGTTAAAAACCTGAACACATACCTCAGATATGTAGGTGTGTATATATATTGTTTACCAGGGGAATGGGCTTAAAAAGGTGAAAGTTTTCTACCTGTGTCAAATGGTTGTCTTACACATCCCCATTTCAGAGACCACTGGATTAGGAGACTGACTTAGGTTAAGTAAGCTGCCAGTAAAAGTTCCAAAGGTGGCCATCCTCTTGGGATTTGGCTGGGGAGAGGATGAATAAACTCTTGCACTAATAACCCTGTGTTCTTCACAGTAAATCTTGATTTAATAAAATTTTTCTTAAGGAAATATGAATTATAGGTTTGTTTTAGAAAGGGCATTCAGTCATGCTCCACTTTCAACCTACACTTTCAGCTGCAGGAAACCACTGATCTACTTTTTGATCTACAAATTTGCCTATTTTGGACATTTCAAATAAAGGGGAGCCAAGTACTATGTGGTATCTTGTGTTGTCTGGTTTCTTTCACTTAGCTTATTTTTCAAGGTTCATCTGTGTTGTACTGTGTTTCAGTATTTCGTTGCTGAGTAATATTTGCATGGCAATTGTACATTTTATCCATTTTTCTGTTGCTAGACATTTTGGTTGTTTAATGCCATGAATATTCATGTACAAGTTTTTACTGGACAGATATTTTCATTTCTCTTAGGTGGATCCTTTGATAACTCTGCTTAACCTCTTCAGAAGCTAAAAACCAGCTACCTTTCCAAAGCAGCTAAAGCTACCTTTCTAAAGCAGCTAAACCACTTAGCACTGGGACTTTGAAATTTTGTATCCCCAGTGGCTAGTACAGTGTTTACTGAATGAATGTTGTTAAATTTCTCATGATTAGTCTGTCCACAAACTTTCTCAAATAACCAATATGAACTTTTTGGTTATAAATTATAACTCAGTACAAGTCCACAGTATGTATATACTTATTAGCACTGTCATTTTCATATATATAACATTTTGGTTTATATACAGATGAGAGAAAAGCTGATTAAAATTATAAAAGTGGAAGTCCGATTTAGTCTACCATTCATTTGGGCTCTGACTTTTGTATTTCATTTGCTTATATGATTTATAAAAGTGATACCAATTGATCTTATGCATAAAAATGGCCAATATATATGAAGCGTTACTCACTGGAAGAATCTCAAATGTCTGTAGTGTTCCACTGTTTAGTGTTATTGTTTCTGAGTCAACAGTAGCAGCAGGAGAGTCTGTTGAAGCTGTGGTAATAAGGACAACAATAAATGTTTTGTAAATTTAAGTTTCTCTAGTGTACTCAATTATCATAAAGGCAATTTAATATTGAATAATTTGCCTGTAGACCTGAAATCACTTACATTTCTTATGAGAGATAATGAATTCAATTTGTCTGGGATGGCATATAGTACAGGGGTGGGCTAACTATGGTCCACAAACAAATCCAGCTGATTGCCAGTTTTTGTAAATACAGTTTACTGGAACACAGCCACACCTATTGGTTTATATATTTTCTGTGGTTACTTTAGTACTACAACAGAGTTGAGTACCTGTGACAGACACCAGAAGGTCAATAAAGCCTAAAATATTTACTATATCTCTTCCTTTATAGAAAAGGTTTGCTAACCCTTGGTATACATGATTAAATGTTTCTAATGGTAGGAAGAGGAACACACTAAGACCAACCTGCAAAAACACAGGAACTTGGTAAAAACTAATTTTCTTGTACATCTGGGTGAGCAGTATGGATGTCTGGACTGGTAGTCCAAAAATACTAGGCTTTAATCACTTCCTAGCAATATAAACCTGAGTAAATAACTTACTTTATAAACTAATGTTCAGATATTTTTACCTGTCCTGCCTACCTCATACGGTTGTGAGGATCAAAAGTGCTTTTAAACACAAATAAATGTTAAGACAGCATTATTTCAGAAGACCACATTTGGGAGACTGAATAAAGATCAGACAGTATAATCTCTTTACATGTGTGTCAACTGAGGATCAGACTTGATCAACATCTGCTCAAGGTTAAATAGAACATACTAGCAATGTCATCTTTTTTGGTGCTTGCAGTCATACCTATAGGCAAATTATGTGAAATATGGCTTGGAATTGACTTTTAATGTGTAATGTTTATTAAATTCTGACTGTAACACTTCTCAGCTATTTAAAAGGAATCTATTGCCCTTACCAACAGAAATGCACTTGATTCATATTATTCATCTTACTATTTGATGGATCCTTGAGATCACAGCTATAATAATTTGAAGGGGTTCCAGATAAGCTAAATCAATGTTAGCAAACTACTATCAGGGACAAATGTAGCCTAAGGCTAATATGGTTTCTACATTTTCAAAGGGTTGTTTAAAAGCAAAACAAAGACTATCCCTCAGAAACCTATGTAGCCTGCAAAGCCTAAAATATTTACTGTCTCTGGCTCATTACATAAAGAAATTTGCTGATCCCTGTTCCCTAACCTAAAAAACGAAAACGAGATTTTAGTTAGAATGCTACAAGTAATAGGTGGATTGTAGAACACTTGAGAAAATTCTAAATACTATTTTAAAATGCTGCTATCAATATTAAGGTATCATTTATAAAATGTTTGTCTTCCCAATGGGTACCGTCAACTCAATAGCCAAGAAAAACTAACACGCCCAATCAATTTATAACCAATAGCAACTCTCATATTTACTTGGACTAGTAATTTCAGTTGCTTTGCAATCCTCAGACTGAAACAAAAACAAAAAGAAATCCTTCATTCTTGATTACACTGATAACCAAATTCAGATTAGGACTTTAAGAATAAGGTATGATTAGTTTAAATGTCTCTAAGGTAACTTTGACAGTCAATGCACATAGATACATGGTGTTAAACACCAATATGTGATTCTGTGATTCTCAACAAGGGAATAATAATGGTATATTTAGAAATATGCAGGGTGTTTCTGTTTCTCATGATGACTGGCATATACTACTAACATTCTGTGGGCAAGATCAAAGGACACTGAATATCCTGCAATGTGAAGGAGTCTGCAAAAACCTGTTGCTCAAAATGCCAATAAATCACCTGGTTAAGAATAACATAATGATTGGAATACTCTTGGGTATCTTTTCAAATGCAGATAGCATCATGTAGACCAAAAACAAAAAAGACGAGTGAAGAATATGGTTCTGAGAATTTCATCCTCATTCCTTTTTGTCACTATAATTTGAGACTGACGGGAAGGGATAAAGATCAATTTGACTTAGATCTAAAGAAAAAAAAAGTTCTCACTCTAACAACGGCTAGGTTTCCATAATCTCATTAAGCACAAAACTGTCAAAAAACAGTTGCCCATAGGAAACTGGCCCTTTACTCCCTGAAGAAAATCATTCTCAACCTTGCCAAAACTCACTTCTTTACCAAACGACCTCAAATCAATCCCCAATTGATATGTCTTCTGGTGAAATTACTACACATGACACACCAGTTGGTAAATTCTATTTCTTTGCTTGACTGACTGCTTTTTAGCTATTTTCTATCATTCATTCTAATTTCTATTTTTAATAATTTCTATTAAGTCATTAATTACAAAATCTAGAAATTAAGATGGTTTCAAATGGTTTATAATGGTTGGGCAACTGCTTATACATCCTTCCTGTCACACATTCAGTGTGCAAATATTAACTGAACTAAACAAAACATTTTTTGGATGTCCTTCAGTTCACCTACTTGGGTAAATTTCTATTAACATTCTAGAAGACCAAAAGACATCAGAGCCATTAACTAAATCATATAGATCAAATAGCGGGAATCTTGAAGATCAAACACTTACAAACATGGGTGATCTGGACTGGAATCTGCAGTGCTGCCATGGGGCTAGAAGAGATGGCTGTATTATCTTCCAAGCGGGCAACTCTTATCTGAACATGCTGTACACTGGAATTGGTATTACTGTTTGGAACTCCAGATCCTGATTTATTCTCCAAAAGCGTTGGGTTGTTTTTTTGGTTCTCATGTAACTGTTTAAGACCTTTTATTAAGACTGAAGGGAGATGGGTAGACAAAAAGAACATTGATTCTCCGACAGACCACCATCTAAGCAGCAAGGGAGGTGGGGGGAGGTAAGGAGGGAAAGTATTTGGAATAAATAATTGCACACTGGATGTGAGAGCTTATAAAAATAAGACATTTTAAAAAACAACATATCCTGAGATTTTTATAAACATTATCCATCGTAACAAATTTTAATTCTTAATATTGTTATTCTTGCCATCTAAGATGTATAATGTTAAAAAAATTAAAAAGGTAGACATTACAAAGAACATGAAAACGAACATTTTCTATTCCTAGGGTGTCTTGATAGAATTATTATTTAGGAAGAATACTAGCAATGCTAAACAGCTTATTTTCATTTTTTAAACGAATAGTGTATATTTTTCCCCCCAGAGCTGAAGGGCCCTTGACTGTTGGTCTAGAGGTAGTAACTGATCTTTTCCAAACAGTAATATGGTATTCCTGCACAGGGAAGCCCATTCTAGACTTTGTTTTGCTCTATTCATAAAATACGCTTATTCTTTGTAACTGAATTTTTTTTTTTTTTTTTTTTTTTTTAAGACAAGGTCTTGCTCTGTTGCTCAGGCTGGAGTGGCATGATCACAGCTCATTGCAGCCTCGAACCCCTGGGCTCAAGCCATCCTCCTGCCTCAGGCTCTTGCTCCCCAATAGCTGGACTACAAGCACATGCCCACCATGCCTGGCTAATTGGTTTTTATTTTTCTGTAGTAATGGGGTCTTGCTATGTTGCCCAGGTTGGTCTCAAACTTCCAGCCTCAAGCGATCCTCCTGCCTCAGCCTCCCACAGTACTGGGATTATAGGCATGAGCCACCATACCTGACCTACACCTGGGTATTTAATTTTAAAAAACCACATTTTCATCAAGCCAAAGTTCCTCAGCATTAAATTTTCCTTTGGAACAATGGAAGTTGAGTGTTACAATAAGGGGAATAAATTTAATAACCTAAATTAAACAGACTGCACAACTCAATTTAGTACCTAAATGCAAAACAGGCAACGAAAAGTATGCTATGCTTCACTTTAAGCAAACCCAATTTAAGATACCTAGATTTATATAATAAAATTAGAAAATTACAGAGCCGTTGTTCTACAAAATTATAACAGAATTTCTCTAACACGCCTAGTTATTTGAAATTACACAACTCACAAAAGTTGACTTAAACTTAGGTTTTCAGAAGTATATCTTTGTATAAAATAAAAATATAGTCATCAATCACTTAAGGATGGGTATACGTTCTGAGAAATGAGCCATTAGGTGATTCTGTCATGGAATCATCAGTGTACTTACACAAACCTAGATGGTACAGCCTGGTACACACCTAGGCTAAAGGACCTATATAGTCTATTGCTTCTAGGCTACAAACCCTTACAGCATGTTACTGTACCAAATACTGTAGGCAATTGTAACACAATGGTAAATCTTTGTGTATCTAAACAGAAAAAAAGTAAAAATACAGTATTTTAATATTGTGAGACCAATACTATGTATGACATCTGTTGTTGACTGAAAGGTTATAAGTGGCCAGCTATGCTGGCTCATGCAGGTAATCCCAGCACATTGGGAAGCCAAGCTGGGAAGATCACTTGAGCCCAGGAGTTGGAGACCAACCTGGGTAACATGGGAAGACCGCATCTCTACAAAAAAAAAATTAGCTGGGCATGGTGGCATGTGCCTATAATCATAGCTATTCAGGAGGCTGAGGTGGGAGGATCACTTGAGTCCACAGGTTTGAGGTTACAGTGAGCTATGATCACACCACTGCATATCAGCCTGGGTAAGAGCTAGACCCTGTCTCTAAAAACATAAAAATTAAATCATATGTGGCATGACTGTATATGCAGATTTTATTTCCTCCTGATAGTTTACATAGAAGAACAAGAATGAGTATAAGTGTGTACATTTTCATTTTAGGGGCTTTAGGAATTACAAACAGTAGTAATTCTTCTCTGGGGAAGAAAACAATTATTGAGAGAAACAGGGCAGAAGTGTAAGTAGAAATCTGCTATGATCTCTCTTTAGCTGGGGCAGAGAACTTCTAACCTCTCACTCCTAAGGAGTAAATATGGCAAGAAAAGGGGAGGAGCTTAAAAAGCAAGTAATACATTACCAGGGAACGAAACATCCTTATGGTTTGCAATTTGCCTTTTGATGGTCCACCATTTACTTCGTAGCCATTGTGGTGAACGGACACTACTCCATCCCTCAGCTAAGAGATCCCAGTTAATGTCATTTTCATCAGCTACATCAAGTTCTGCTATCCTACAGTTACAAAATAAGCATCTGTTAGACATTACATTAATTTCTCTATAAGAACCCCTCCTCTGACTACAGGTGATTACGCTGGCAAATAAAGGGAATGGCAGGTTACGCCAATGAGATGCTATTGTTAAGTTGCACGGGAAAGGACTCCAGGAGTGCAGATCTGCTTTCAGAGCTAACATCTAAGAAATACCAACAGCAACAGCCTTTAGTTAAAGGTACAACCAATGGGCTAAACCATAAATGGTTAGAACCAGGTGAGGCACTGTGAAGGAAAAGGGGTATGGTAAAGGAACAGATTTAGTTGTATAGTGTTCTGCAATGTTTCATAGTGTGGCATTTACTAAGTCATTTACTTCCTGGATCTGAGTGTTTCCACTGTTAAGCAAAAATATTTAGAAATGAGCTATTTATAAAGATGACTAGTTGAAGAAAAAAAAAACAATCCAGTCTAAAAAATAAACAAAAACCCCCACAAAATCCAAAACAAAATAACACAAAAACAGTAGCTGCAATCAAAAACCAACACACTAGTACAACAAAATTTGAGGTTTAAAAAAAATCTGTTCATTTTCTAGCTTTGTTGTGATTTGATTTTCAGTAGGGAGTAGCCATGGTGACAGTCTCTATTACTTCAGAGTCTTAAACTATTTCTTGCTATTTCTTGCTAGTATTTTTGCCCATTTTATTTTAGTTAATGAGTCTTAATGGTTAAACCAACTACTTTTTAAAAAAAGCTGGGATTATGATATCTTAAAGATCTTTCGAATTTGTATGAAACGGATGTGTTTGATTTGGTCTACTTTGAAGGTATGGAGGTAACTACAGACTGGGCCCCCTTCTTGGAAATCTTAGCACAGTAGCCAAGAATTGAAGGGCATGGAGACTGAACAGCCATCTTATCCTAAACGTGTTCCCCTTATAGGACTGAGGCACATTGGTGGGACAGTGGAAAAGGTGCACTGCCTCTGCCTGTGCCATACCTGTTCTGTGGATATAGAGAGGACTTCAGTCTCCACGCCTTCAATCTGGTACTTTGCACGAGCACTAAATCCACTAAAAGAAAAGGAACACAAAACAAAACAAAAAAAGAGCTCAATATGGAATACGTAAGATGTTAAACAGTAGTGCTCTATGGAAAGGATACTTTTCAGACACTAGGCATCTAGGGAAACCAAAAGAGGAAAGTCTATCAAGACATCCACAGCAATTAAGTGGTTTTTGTCATTACAAGATTCAGGACACAAACCTGAGGATGAGATTGATTTCATCTTCCTTGGTCCATTCAGTACCTCCACTCTGTTTCCAATTCAGGTAGTTGAGCCATTTAGAACGACATTGCTTTTCTGAGCGGGTACCCACTCGTTCAGCCACAGCTGCCCAAGATACACCCTGTGTGACTATGTCACCTGGCTCAGTGCTTGTCAACTCATGAACCACTTCTGCGAGTCTCTTTTCTTCTTCTTCTGTCCACTTCCCTGAAAGAAGGAAATCATCCAGACTACCACTGCTAACTTCTTTTACAAATCTGATTCAGCCCTGTATTTACAAGGACCGATGGGAAGTATGCAGTAGTACTAAGAGTTTGTTTCTGAATGACCCTCTGGTGGAAAACCATATATACCCACTAAGACAGTTTCATTTTACTAGCTCAGAGAGGGTCTCAGTAGAAAAGAAACTGAAGAATCCTATGGAAAGCACTCACCAATTATGAAAAGAAAAACCACCCAAAACATAACTACAAAGAAGAATGTATTCTCAAGTTACACTAAGTCCTTTATAAACCGTGAAGTGGGAAGACCTTCATCAATGGCTGACAGACAAGAAATGGCATGCTTTTTTTCTTACTCTCACCTAAGATTCCCTGCTCTGCAAAAGTAGAGTAAGTTCAAGAGGCCATTACTTATAGGAATGAATGATGAGACACTAGGGAAATAACACCAATGGGCTCAACCTATTTTAGTAAAAACTAGGTTTCTACCATCTTGTTTCCCCACTATCCCAACTCCAAGCTACTGTGATGAAATATTAGTAAAGTCTGATACAAGTATTTATATTTATTTTTATTCCTCTGTTTTCTCAACCCATAAACCCACTAATAGATAATCCCAAATGTTCCTCTCAGTCTTTTTCTTATGGTGCTAGAGCAGAAACACAGGGAACAAAGAGAACCATTTTTTTTCATCTTCTTTACCTCTGTTTCTGTTTTGTTATTACTAGCTAAAAACCTCTAGAAAATTTCAAAAAGACTGTGCTTGCTTTGGCATTCCATTCATCCAGCAAATGTTTATTGAATTTTCATTATATGCTAAGCACAGTTATGAATACTCTGGATGGATTCAAGATGAAGTCCTACTCTTCTATTCTAGCATGGTGTTAAAGGATGGGACCACTTTGAGACTGTGCTGTTTCATGGCGTGGCCTCAACAGCAGCTGTATGTCACAACATGAGAAGGAAACAGGCAGATCTATCAATCCCTCAGGCTGGCAATCAGGAAATGCCACTGTGTCCTTCCAAATTATGTTACCAAAAGTGGTTCTGTACTCACAGCATCTTACATGAACCTCTGAGATCCTATTCTAAATCTAAAGCTTACAGCCCTGCTTCTTTCATTAAACTAGCCATGTCACAGAATGACAAAGCTGGTAGGACGTATGTTCTCACTGCTCTGCAGGTAACAGTTCTGATTTCATTTTAGTAGAGCAAGGGGTTAAGGACAAAATGTATATGCCCTAGAAGCTAAAGCTAAACTTCAGAACTTTTTTTTTTTTTAATTGAAACAGTGGGCATGGATTACGGATGCTTCAGAGAACATTATGGCTGAAAGGGCACTATGAGACCATCTACTCTAATCTCTTTATTTTACAGAGGGAAGTGAGGCTCAGAAAGGTTAAATGACAGTTAATGGCGGAGCCTAAATACGTTGTTGGTCGCAAAGATTAGGTTTAACAATATGACTAGGACATTTGTATGCATTAAGAGGCATTTGTGGTCTTGCCAGGGGACTGAAACACCAATCATAAATTTTTTCTATGGAAAAATATAATTTGAGTTTAAAATAAGCAAAATACGTACAAATCTTTGGAACACAGCTTCTTCCTAATTTGGGACTTACCTGTGACTAAAGTTTTTCATAAACACTCACTGATTAGCTGTTGCTAATGTAAATTCAACAGTTAGATGGGCCTAAATTAAAATTACTTGCTGCATATATGTCTTCAAAATACTTTCTCAACTGGGGAAGTATTGAAATTGCTACAAAACTGAAACATGTCAGATCCGAATCATCTTGACACTAAGGTGATGTTGTGTCCCTGAAGACAATGTTACCTTTTACAAAAACAAAGTAAAAGATTAGTTTGATGTATCTAATAAGCTCAAGTAAAAGAAGACTAGAAAATAAAGTCTGAACTAAGGTGAATGATCTAAATCGCTCCCCCAGAACAAAGAAAAGACAGTATCCTAAGGGGCAGGAGGAGGCTTAAGTGGTGATAAGAAAACGCTACCAGGAGCAGTCACAGTACCTGTGTTGCAAGTATCCTTCATCAGTCGGCACCGATCTTTGACAGAAGATGCACTTCTTCCTAGCGCCGCCCCTATTGTTGCCCAGTCATTGCCATGCTTTATCCGGAGCCTAAAACAAGAGTCTGCCAATCAGCATTTGGTTCAATTGTTTTCTCCCTTTTAATTTCATCATTTATTCTTCATTCTTCTTCTTCCCATTTGACTGGTTTGGAAGTTGTGGGCAGCAATACTTTGAGAGCCAAAGTTTGAAAGTGTGGCCTTTTTTTGGGGTCCACAGTTGTCTGTGGGTGAAAAAAAAACAGGCAGCAATTGCCTTTTTCCTGGGTCAGAGAAGAAATAAGTAACTTGGATATGTGTTCAAAAAAGACCAATTTCCCCTCAGGTTACTGACACAATCTCCCAGGCAAGCCCCAGACTTTCCCTTTTGAGCATATACCCAACAAACTCTTCTTTAGACATCTAAAAAAGTTTCACAGGCTTTTAACAGATTATAAACAGAATCTACCTTCAAATTTTTTCATGATCCATACAATTCATTAAACCATACGTTAAGGCCTAACTCAATAAAGCAAAATTCTATTTCCTGAGATTCAATAGTCTTTGCAAAGTTGAGTCAGCCCAGATATTCACTGAAACATTTGCCAAGTCACCATTCTAAACTGAGCCATGTAGCACAACCCTGGTTTTGATCCTGGTATATAAATTCCCCAAATTTAGTCTTCAGGCCACCAAAAATGGCCCCTTAATCTTTTCTGGAACCCCTATTAGTGGTCTGAGGAAGCATCTGGTGAATGGCAACAGGAGACCAGATTTATACATTATGAGAATGGTTATTTTGTGCAAGTATGGATTTGATGTGATCTTTTTAAGTCCAATCATGCTTAACAGGAGAATTCAATTATACCAGTCTGCCAAAAACCTCTTGAAATTTTCAAAGTAAAACTTTTAAGGACGTAAGACATTTAAAAAAAAAAAAATAGAATGAAAAAAACTTTAAAACTTACTCCTTGAGCTTCTCAATTTCTTCAGGTGTATATCTAGAAATTCAGAGAAATTTTTAAAAAATCAATTAAAACAATGAATGCTAAAAACCTTAATAAAAACCAGAATTTCATTTAGGGAGCTGAATGTTAAGTCACTTAGCATATGATAATACTTTCAAAGTAACCCATTTTAAAGTGGATTAATAAAAGTTGAGAATAGGCAGGGTGTGGTGGCTCAGGCCTACAATCCCATCACTTTGGGAGGCCAAAGCAGGCGGATCACCTGAGGCAAGGAGTTCGGGACCAGCCTGGCCAACATGGCAAAACCCCATCTCTACCAAAAATAGAAAAGTTAGCTGGGCGTGGTGGCGGGCGCCTGTAATCCCAGCTACTAGGGTGGCTGAGACAGGAGAATAGCTTGAACTCACGAGGCAGATGTTGCAGTGAGCCAAGATCATCATGCCACTGTACTCCAGCCTGGGCGACGGAGACTGTCTCCAAAAAAAAAAAAAAAAAAAGTTGAAAATAAATACTTCTATTTTTATTTTTTTAAAACAGTAAATATTTTTAGTTATAATAAAGGTAAGGACTGTATAATTTTCTCCAGAAAAAAAAATCAACATTTAAAACAAACATTCGCTCCTATGTTGTCTAACACTTCCTTTATTTCAAACTTAGATTTTGGCACTCTCAAATCATAACTATTCCAAAAAAACTTATGGGTGACACTGTAAACTAGAGCTAAAAAGAAAATCTAGAAACAAAAAAAGTTTACAGAAAATTCTTTCAAAGCACTGAAAAAATTAAAATTATCTTTATTTCCTTTACCCAGGTATGGACATCTGACATACTCTTGCTCTTTATTTCAGTAGGCAAGTACTCAATACAGCCAATGTAATGTTCTTTTAAAAAATGTCCATTTAATAACTATGAAAGTCTGCTCACTTTGTAACCATTTGTAATGCATGGAAAGTTTATGAATAGTTAACAAGTCATTTATGCTTCATTTACAATTTTTTCTTTTTCCACTGTCACAAAAACATAATTTAATCCTCTTCAGCTTTCAAATGTATTTTCATTAGCAGGCTGCTGAAGAGCTAGAGAAAGAGCTCCACCATTAGCTCAGCAGTACCTAATAAGCCATACTACTGCCACCTAAAATTTCCAAAGAGAAATTAAAAATATGTCAGTAACAATATACAATCACTGCATTTGAAGAATCTTAATGATGCCTTCCCATAAATGCTACCTAAAACAGAAATCCATGCATTGTTTTCAGAAATGTAGTTCTTTTCCATTCTGCTTTTATTAAAAAAAAAAAAAAAAAAAGGCCACTGACCTAGGAATGCTATATTCTAAAAACAAATAGGAAAAATGTTACCAATAAATTTCAAGTTATTTTCACGCTTCTTAAATCTTTAATCAGTACTGTACTTTTTATGTTACTTTACTACAAAGCAGACTTTGACATATTAAGTAAGCCAAGTCTTAAATCTAACCTATATAAAGTGAATTAGATCCTAATTTCTAAAAGAGGGTTTAATAAGGTTTCACCATATTCACAACATGGACCTGGAAGATAAAAATATTAACAATAATTCATAGCTGTCTTCAATTAATACCTTGACCATAATTCTATTTTTTTAAAAAAAGGACAGTTCCTCAAATTTTACCCCTAATTACATGAAAACATGCAGCATTACAAGTTTTCATACTTTCCCACATGGTTTCTGTCATCATACATGCGAAGCACTCTTCTATAAACTGCAAACAAAGGCCGGTTCAGACCCCATGCTATAGTCCTGTAGAAATCTTTTCTTTCGTCTTTTGACATCTCAAAGATGATTTCTGTAGCATCTTTTATTCCGCGTGCCTAAATGGGTTACATTTCTTTGATTTAGGGATTTCTGATAAAATGCATATGGATATACTATGCTTTTAAAATATCACTAATTCATTAATAAATCAAATATAAACTTTTAAGGTGTTGCAAGAGATAAAAAAGTGACACTTAAATGTTCCAAGAATAAACTATCAAATTCAATAAATTCAATTTCCATCAACTCTTTTACAATTACAAAAGGTTAAAAATAGATCTAAAGAAAGAAGGAAGCAAATCACAAGGGCAAAATCAATGGAATCCAGAATCAAAAGGATAAACTAATCTAGAAATTGGTTCTTTGAAAACATCCATTAAGATTAATAAAATTTGAAATGATTAAAGTTCTGCCAAAAAAAAAAAAAAAGACACAAACAATATTAGCAATGGGAAAATGGGGCCTAAGTAGAGATGCTGCAGAGATTAGACCATTAACAAAGTAACATTATGAACAATTTTATGGTCATAAATTTAAATTTTGGTAAAATGAATAAATTCCTAGAAGACATCAAACATCAACTTACCAAAACTGACTCTGGAAGAGACAGAAAATCAAATAGGCACAGACCATCAAGAAAATCTAATCAGTTATTAAATAATCTTCCCACAATAAAAACAGTAGGCCCACATGACATAGATGACATTATAGGTAAATCCTACCAAATAGACACATAATCCTGTCCTTAAACTATTCAAAAGTTAAAAAAAAAAAAGTGGGTACATTTCTTTGCTTATTTTGTCAGGCTAGCATAATCTTAATAGTGAAACCAGAGGAGGACAGTTTCAGAAAAGAATTTTCAGGTCAAACTCATTCACTAACATAGATCTCCTAATAATATTTTAGCACACTGAACCCAGCAATGTATAAAAACATTAGTATGTCCAGGTAGAAAAGTGAATTTATCCCAGGAATACAAGTTTGTGTTAATTTCAGGAAAATTATTAATGTAATTAATCCCATCAGCAGATTTATGGAAAAAATGTAAAATCTCAACAGATGTGGGAAAAGCATTCATAAAATTCAGTATTCATATATGTATGTCTTACCAAATTAGGATTCACTGATAATCAGATTTTTAAAAAAACCAAAATTATAAAGATTAGAAAAGAGGAATCACTTGTAATATATAGGTAGAAACACAAAAAAATCTATGAAAAAAATTATGTGATTTAAAAAAGAACTAATTTTAGCAAGGTTGCTAGATACAAAATCAAAATGCAGTTATTTGCGTTTCTACTCAAAGTTTACATAACATTTTTAAAAGTTCCCACACGGCATCAAAATTAAGAGTATCAGAACTTAGGCAAGTTATCAATGTCCTTTATGGAGGAAAATATAAAACCTGACATTGAGGAGGAACTAAGAGTTATACCATGTTCTTCAACAGGAAGATGACATACTATGAAGATATTACTTCCCCCCAAATCAAAGTACAAATTCAATGCCATCCAATTAAAACTCCATTTGAATGTTTCACTCTCTGTAAGCTGATTTTAAATTTATAACAAAAGAGCAAAGGGCCAAGAATAGCTAAGACATTTATGAAGAGACTTGCCCCATTGGATATTGGGACTTCTGAAGATGGCACTGTACTGGTGCAGGTATCAACAAATAGAACCTGAAAACAAATTAGAAAACCTAGAAACAAATTTGTGGCAGCTTGATTTAGAACAGAATGGACACTGTAAGTTAGGAATTAGACATCTATACAGAAAGAGATACAACTGAAATTATATCTCACACCTACAGCCATGAAATGCAGAATTATAAAACTTTTACAAGATAATGTGAGAATGTCTTCATGCCCTTGAGGCAGGGAAGGATTTCTTAAGCAAGCATGCATGCAAAACAAACAAAAAAGATGATACACTTGATACTGCAGTTAAAAATTTTTTATCAAATGACACCTAAAGAGAAGGAAAAGGCCACTAAATTGGGACAATTTTGTATCTGTAATACAAATGACCAATAAACCATTAGTACCCAGCATACATTAAGAAAGTCTAAGTTAAACAAAACAGTTAACGCCACAGAAAAACTGGTGAAAGACACAGGAATTTCAAAGAAGAAACACAAATAGCCAATAAGCGTATCAAAATGTTATCAGAGAAACAAATTAAAATCATAATTAACACCCACTAGGTTTGTACAAATGAATAGCAAAAAACTAAAAGAACCCAAATGACCATTAACTGTGAAATGGGTAACTTGCACATTTGCACAATGAAATACACCTAAATAAAAGGGTAAGGATATTAAAATAATAATGAGTTACAGAATATCCACAGAATCAATCTATTTATATATATTTCAAAAACAGGTGAAATCACAGTGTATGCATTTTATATACTTTTGAATGTATGAAACTTCACAGCAAAAAATTTCTACATTTCAGAATGTTTTCTAAAATTCTTTCACTTATGCAGTTCCAATTTTGCCAGTGATTCAACCTAAATATTTATTGATCTACTACATGCAAGCACACTGTGTTGCAGGATGACCATACAGTGAGATAAAAGATTCTTCTGCCTCCACACTCTTTGCCCTTTTTCTTGCTTGTGGAAGTTACTTTCATTTATCCTTTTAACCCAAATATGAAACATATGACATCCAACTAATTGGAACTCTCTGAAGTTTAAAATTGGCTCTACAAAAGTCTTAGAAGAGCACCACATAATAAAAGCTATGGTCAAAAACCCAAATTGAACAAATTATCTTTTTTCAAGATAATCTTTTGAACATTTCCTATTTCTGCCAATCTGATCATCATTCTCCCAATCACCTAAAATAAAAACTCTTAAGTTGCTCTAACTCCTTTTCCTTCTTTCCCAACATTCAGTTCAGGCATCCTTGCAGATACTTGGTTATCTGCCCTTTCTCTATCAATTCTATTTCTACCACTGTAGTTTAAGTCCTTTGCCACTATCAGTTGGTCTACCGAAACAGTCCTCTAAAAGGTCTCAAAATCCTACTCACACTCCTGCCCATTAATCACTAACTTGGAAGGGTCCTCGGAGATGATCTACTTTAATCCCCTAGACAAGGAACTAGCTTAATTCTCAAAGTTCAGTGTTCCTTAGCACTGATTACTGCTTTATCTAAACTAGTAGCATTTTCCAGGATTAACTGAAGCATATGTGACTAGTGGACAACTTAAATACACTTCTGGATTCATTTTCAATGGCCAATGTATTTGTTTCTCTTAAAACAACAAACATGGTGGAAGGATCCCATTTATTAGTGAAGAATTAGAAGTTTTAAAATTCTGTATTTCAAAAAGCTTAGCTTGGGAAAGTTGCAGTTAAAATTAAAATTTAAAATGTGGACCTTCTATCTAGGCAGCACTGTATTTCTACGTTAGTGTTGAGTGGAAAATTTAAAGTAAGCAGTCAATATATCAAACGAAACGAGAATGGTTAAACACTGTATACCATCCTTCCCCAAATGATGCTGATGGTCTACATTTCAGACATAACACTATTTGAATCTAACTCCATTACAGAAATGGTCAGCAAGTCTCTGGAAAGATTTCCTTGAGAATACAGATCTACCCCACGAATTCCTTACTCAACTAAACTACTAGCTTTTCTTAAACCCTTTAATGCTTCTCATCTGCTATAGGATAAAGTTCAAATTCTTTGGCATGGACTTCAGAGCCCAGTTTTCCAGAGGCTATTTATCTCAGTTCAAGGTAAAGGGGTTAATTTAATGTACGTTGGTTTTGATCTTTGATTTCTTGCTGCTTCAGCTTGTATTCATGTAGTTCCCTCCAATTCTATTCTAGCCCAAGTACCATTCTTTAAGACAGCTCAAATCCTTTTTCTTCCAAAATTTTCCATAACTGCTCTAAAAACTCTTCTTTCTGTAAACTTGTACAGAACTCACATGTATCATTCACATGATACAAGGCTTTGTATCACTCTTCGCCTGTTTCCAGCCTGCCCAAATGGATCACTGACTTCAAAAGCAAACACTGTTAAAGCAATCCATGCCTTAACACAATCCAAAGCCTTAAAAATATTGTGTTCAAAAGACATTTAATGAAGAGTACTAAGCTAACAAGAAATAAACCTGAATAAGAAAATAAACTAAATTTTTGATTTTTTTTAAAAGGGAAAGACTACTATGACATCAAAAATTCATTCAAAGATGCATACCTTAGCTGGGCGTGGTGGCTCATGCCTGTAATCCCAACACTTTGGGAGGCCGAGATGGGCGGATCACCTGAGGTCAGCAGTTTGCGACCAGCCTGGCCAACATGGTGAAACCCTGTCTCTACTAAAAATACAAAAATTAGCCGTGCGTGGTGGTGCATGCCTGTAATCCCAGCTACTCAAAAGGCTGAGGCAGGAGAATAGCTGGAGCCCAAGAGACGGAGGTTGCAGTGAGCTGAGATTGTGCCACTGTACTCCAGCCTGGGCAACAGAGCAAGACTCTGTCTCGAAAAAACAAAAACAAAAACAAAACAAAGAAAGATGCATACCTTAAGCTTTTACACAATATAAATTAAACTATATAGCCTTCTTGAAAAGATAAGACTTTAAAATGTTGAGAGGCTACTAACATTTTATCTAAACTTTAGGGTGGCAACTAAAGTAGGAAAGCGATTTTAAACTGAGAATTCAAAATATTATTATACTATAATAATGTATTTTAGAATTACTCAGCTACAACATGTTAGCCATTACAAAAATCCATTACAAAAATAGTAAAAAGTTAGTAAGTACATACAACATACTGTGTCGGTATTTCTGCAACTGGCAATAAACAAATTAGTGACACATAAAAATATGCCATAAGATACCTTTAGATAGCGTTCAATATTGTTCATCAAAATATCAATTTCTTCCTTGGACCACATCCCCTGCTTCCATTTATGCCCTTTAAAAGAAAACAAGAAATGTTAAAAAAAAAAAAAAAAAAAAAAGTTACTCTTTGAAAGAAATAAAACACCAAAGATTCCTTTGTGATTATATTTGGGGATAAAATTTAGCTAATTTCATTTCTCATTCCTCTGAAATCTGAAAGGTCTCTAGGTTAAACTTGCTTTTGTAACTTCTGGATTTTAAGCTATGGTACATTTATTTGACCCTACTAAAAAAAGACAATGATAATTAAAAGATTTTTAAAAAATTACCTCTCTTAGCCTTTCAACAATATAGAACTGCTAAAAAGAAACATAAAGGTAAAAAAAGCCAAATCATGCTCAAAACTTTTTGAAAAATTTCTCCAGTGAAAATTGTATGGGCAAAAAGAACATATACAAATGTTGGGAGCAAGCACCCCAAAATCTGGCCATAAACTGGCCCCAACACTGGCCATAAACAAAATCTCTGCAGCACTGTAACATGTTCATAATGGCCCTAACACAAAAGCTAGAAGGTTGTGGGTTTACACACACAACTGCTGCAGTTAACTAGCCCAATCTATTCCTTTAATTTAGCCCATCCCTTCATTTCCCATAAGGGATACTTTTAGTTAATTTAATATCTATAGAAACAACGTTGATGAGTGGTTTGCTGTTAATAAATATGTGGGTAAATCTCTGTTCAGGGCTCTCAGCTCTGAAGGCTGTCAGACCCCTGATTTCCCACTTTACACCTCTTATATTTCTGTATGTGTGTCTTTAATTCCTCTAGGGCTGCTGGGTTAGGGTCTCCCGGACTCTAAGGCAAGGTAAATATTGAATAACAAGTGAATAATGTATTCTTAAAGAGTATTTACTATACAGTGGTTGAAAATGATTTACATTTTTCTGCTTCCTTTCTGTACTTCACAGTGGCACACACACAATGCTCACTTTTTTTGTAGCACCTTCCCCAGCTATGCTTGAGCATAGCCAACACTATAAACACTACGTTTAAGGCTTAAGGTAGCCTCTAGGTCGCTTATCAGACCATAGTAGGCCCTTGAAAAGGCTTGAGTTCCTACTCTCATAAGCAATAACTATCTTGTCTTAAATGCCACCACTATGCATTTGTTCAAAAATTAACAAGACAAAATTTACTTCAAATCAGAAGGAGAAAAATAATTATTAATTACTGAACCACAAATGGTGGTTTCACAACCTTAATTCAAATTCATTTGGGGCCAAATTTAATTCAGTTAGAAAAGTTCAATTACTCTAACTGCTCAATCCTAATGATGAAGGTCCAACTCAGAATCTTGATGACTATAAGCCCTTTCTATCTCCATTTTTTTCCACTGGGCACTAAAATTCACAGTATATCTTACCTTTATTAGTCAGAGAATCCTTATCTTCTTTAGTTGTAAACCATGCTTGGCTAACTGCTGAAACTTCCTCATTACCCAAGGGAGATATTTCATCTAGTTGCTCATTCTGCAAAATCTTGTAAAAGTAAAAAAAAAAAAAAAAAGTGGCAGCTTGATTTAATGCCCAACCTGATTCATCTTTGTAATCCTAAGCATTATAAAACTTAAATATAGTCATACGGAATTCACTTGTTTTAGATATAGTAAAAATATATTCAATTTACAAAAAAATATTTCTTGCTATTTTTATTATGGCAGTATGAAAACAAAATTATATGCATTAACATAATATGACCTTCATTTAAGCAAGTAAGTGTACTACTGGCTTCAGTTTTATATAAAATGGGCCAAGAGTCTATTACGTATTTAAATCAACATAGAATACTCAGGGAAATTTAAATATTTACACATGTAAATAAGCTCAATAATATACAATATACAGTTATCTGTTCTAGATAGGAAAATGGAAGTGCTAGGGTTGGGTGTTATGATTTGTTAATGCCCTCAGAGATAAGCTTGCTGCCTAAATCACCAATAATGTAATCTCTTAACTTAAAAGATTAACAGGCTAAATCATAAGTCATTATTGCAAAATCATGGTCTGCTTATTGTTTTCTGACAACTTTGTTTTAGACAACCTCTAGAGCCTTATTAATGTACCTTTCTCTCAAAGAACTGTATGGTACTACTTATTCTTAATGCAGTTAAGTCTTCTGTGCAACCACCACCATCTATATTTTTAGTTACAAGCATATCTAACTTAACAAATTCTGCAGGGGAAAAAGCTGCCTTTGGCAGAGTTGACCCTGGCCTAAAGGGAACCATAATGTAAATGAGGAAGACCTGGCAACAGTGCTACCGTATCAGGTATTAGCCTATCATAGACAGAATAAGGGAAGAGTCACATTTTTAGTGACCACTCAACCCAATTCAGTCTCTGGGCTAAAAAAAAAACTAAGCAATGTTACTGGCTGAAGGTAAATCCTAAGAAGGACTGAACTACTACTTCTTGAATAAACAGAAACTGAACTTCTAATATGAAGAGAAACTGAAACCCATCTCTCTTGGAAAGAGATAAGCTGTCCTCATCTCTTTTGGAAAAAGATAAGCTGTCAGTGGACAACCAAGGTACAATTAGGAGAAAAGTCACATTTCTATTGTTGCCTACTACTTTATTTTTGTATCTGGTGGTAATATATATACTGTGTTTATGGAAGTGCTTTTGAATCCATGGGCAAAAAGCTGGAAATCACTGGAACAAGTGTGAATAAGTTTTATAGCCCTCTATTTATGTGTCATACTTTTTGATTTTTTAAATCAAGAAGGACCTGTATAAAGCTAAGAATTGAGACAGACTATATGTGTCTAAGGTTCTTACATTCTGAAGATCACAATTTTATAAGATTTGATCCTGGAGTTATATATCAGTAAAGAGTATAACAGAGAGCTATCAAAAGACCTTGATACATGCAATACTCAGTTTTAAGAACTATAATGTAGAAAATACTCTTAAATTATCTTCTCTTAATCAGTTGGATATGAGAATCAAATCACCATTTCTCAAAGTATGTCTATATAGCAAAGCCCATTCCATGAACCTTAGGAATAAGTCTGTTATGCTGATTAACCACTATTTGGGGGCAAACATTTAATGCCTTATGGCTCAAATCTTCCCTCAAATGAACAAATAATTATTAAGCAGTAGCAGTAGTATTCAACACCATCAATAATAAATGAGTTTAGTGTGTACAGCAGGAGACTTAGGTACCTTGAAGGGTACCTATCTATACTTGATATATAAATAAGTCTTACAGTATTTTACCCCCATTTTTCACTACTTTATGCATCTATTAAGTTTCCTCAGCTTTATTTAGTATGCTGCTGCTTTTAAAATGAAGCTTTTATGAGTTGGTTGCAGGATTTCATGCCTATAATATATATAAGGCTTAGAAACCTAGAATATTCAGCTCATTGAAGCCTCTTGCAACCACAAAGTACTACATACATAGGGACTTACAATAGTTTCTAATTATTTTTCAAGGTAGTCTCATCACTGAAATGAGACACAGTACATTAACTACCAAACTATGTCAAAATAGCTGCACCTGGTTTACAGCAAAGATACAGTAAGAAACAATTTCTGAACTTTTTAACTATGCTTTCAACTCACATCTTGTTCATTTTGTGTCTAAAGTTAATCTTATTAAACAAATATTAGCAATTATTAGAAAAGTTTTTTGTTCACTAAAATGGTGATAGCAACCCAAGAAGTTAAATATTAAATTATAACTCATTAACTATTTGGCAGTAATCAAAACAAAAGAGCTTTGTAATTTGTTTCATAATAAGGGCTAAACTGGGCACAGTGGCGTGTGCCTGTAGTCCTCGCTACTTAGGAGGCTGAGGTTTCTCATCATTTTATCTGCTAACCAATGTGTCAAGGAACATTCTCCTGAGGACAGTTAAAAGATTTACTATACCTGGATCTGTGTCACAGTCCCCTCAGTAACCTCATCATCTGCTACCTCTGTGGTCGCAGTCATGGTCACCTCAAAGCTCTGATCATTTTCTGAAACTTCAAGAAAAGGAACAGTTCATCTCCAGAATAATAATGGCAAGTTTTAATTGTTCTAAAAATATCCATGGGAAAAAAATACGATCATCTAATTTCCTAACAAACTACTTGTTAATACATCTTCACATGTATATATTCATTTGCTTAATAATAGTTAATGAGAACCTAATTCATAGTAGATACTGCTCTGGGTGCTGGGGATACAACAGTGAGCAAGGGAAACAAAAATCATTTCTTCATGGAGCCTATATTCTAGTGGGGAAAGACACAAAATGGCCAGATACTACATTGGATGGTGATTAGTAGTGAGAAAAAATAAAACAGGAAAGGGAATCTGTTGGGGTGGAGGACAGTATTTGAAATTTTCTATAGGAGGCTGGGAAAAGTGACCAAGACTTGGAACAAGTGAGTATGGAAGCTAGTTTTGCAGGAATCTCAAGGAAGAGCATTTCAAGGAGAGCCAAGTGCAAAGGCTCTGAGACGGGGCATGCTTGGAGTGTTCATGAGAATGGCAAGGAGGTCAGTGTAGCTAAAGCAGACTAAACAAGAACAGTAGGAGATTGTGTGGGGCCTTGTAAGCCAAAAGGTTTTGGTTTTAACTCTTAGGTGGGAAACAACTGGAAGATTTTGAGTAGAGGAATAATATAATCTTTTATTTTAACAGACTCACTCTGTGCTATCAGAAAAACCATTTGAAGCGCAAATGCAATAAAGATAGGTCAGTGGCTTGGACTAGGGTGAAGGCAAGTGAGAATGGCTAGTAGTTCAAATTGTGAATGTATTCTGGATGGCAAAGCCACTATGATTTGTAGACAAAGAGGAGATGGAAGAGACTGAAGAGCCAAGGATAATATTACATTTTTTTTTGAAAAAAATCAAAACTACTGGAAGAATATACCTGCTACTAATTAGTTGAGAAGACTGTAAAATAAGCAAATTTAAGGATTTAGGAAGTTATAGAACCTCTGCTTTAAACACACTAGTTTGAGACAACTACTAAATATTTAGAGAATGAGAAGTCTGGTCTGGAATAAATCTGGGGTGGTTAACACCAGATAGTATTTGAAACCTTAAGTTGAGATCACCTAAAAAGTGAGTAAACAAAGAAGCAAACAAAAAAAAAGTAAACAAAGAACTAAGGACTTAGTTCTGGGGTGCTCCACATTTAGAGGTTCTGGTGACATGGAAAAGTCAGCAGTAGAGACTGAGAAGAAATGGACAGAAAAATAGAAAGAAAACCAGACGAATATTTTCTATAGGCCAAGTGAAAATGTTTCAGGGAGAAGGGAGTAATAAATATTGTCAAACGTTGCTGACAGATCAAGTAAGGCAAACACTAAAAAAGTGAACACTGAATTTGGCAACAAGAAGGTCTTTAGAGAGCTGGGAAAAACAGTTTAGTTAAGGGGTGAAAGCTTGGAGTAAGTTTAAGGAAAAATGGGGAAAGGAAATGAAGGCAAATACAGGCAATTTTCAAGGCATTCTGCTCTAAAGGCAAGGAGGAAAATTGAGTAAGAACCAAAAGTGAGCTAAAAGAACTTTTTATTTATTTTTCTGAGACAGGCTCTTGTTCTCTTGCCCAGGCTGGAGTGCTGTGGCACACTCACAGCTTATTGCGGTCTCAACCTCCCAGGTTCAAGCAATTCTCCCACCTCAGACTCCCTAGTAGCTGAGATTACAGGCATGCACCACCACGCCCAGCTCTTGTATTTTTTGTAGAGACAGAGTTTTGCCATGTTGCCCAGGCTGGTCTCAAATCCCTGGGTTCAAGCAAACTGCCCGCCTCAGCCCCCCAAAGTGCTGGGTTTATAGGCATGAGCCACCACGCCTGACCAGGGACTTTTTATTTAAAGAAAAATAACAGTATGTTTGTGATACTGTGGTAATGACTCAGTAGAAGAAAAACTGGTGACACAGAAGAGACAAAATAATTATTGGAACAATGTCCTTGAGTAGGTAAAAGGGATAAAATCTAGTAAATGGAAGGATAGGCCTAAGATAGGACAACGAATATATGAATGGACATAGATGCAGGTAGGTATGTATTTGTGGTAGTAGGAATTTGTAGAAATTATTTTCTGGTCACTTCAAATTCTTTGTGAGTAGGGTTATTAGCTCAGAGTAAAAAGGTGGAAAAGGTATTTGGAAGTTTCGGGACATATGAAATAGTCATCTCAGAGTGGGTAAAAGAACACTAGAGAACTGTTGTTACTGGTAGGCAGCATTATGAGCCCGTGAGAATAGTCAGCCTGCTTGTGCCATTTTTCTCTAATACTTTTCAATTAGCTGCACTGGTACAGACATAAACAGGCAAAAATAGATTTAGACAGTTATGATTTCACCAAATAAGTGAGAGGAAAAAAAAGGACTTGGTGAATGCAAGACAGTGATTATAAGATTAACCATAAAAGTAAAACAGGGTAAAAAGGAAAGAAAGGATACAAGTAGAGAAGAAACAATGATAATATAATAGGATCAATGGGTCCCAGTGAGGCAAAAGACTGCAGGAGTTACAGAGTGCTACAGGAAGTGAGCTGGAAAAACAGAAGTAGTGGTAGGAAAACAGCAAGTCTGAAATAGATCACAAATGAACTCTAGTAACAGGTAAGAGTGGTAAAGGCAGTAATAAATGGAGAACAAAAGGAATAAGAGGCTAAGGTACTGAAAGAATCATCTAGACGAATACTGTAATCACTATATAGTTATAACTATAAATAGGGAATGGGATAAATGTAGTGGCAGATGACTACAAAGAGAAGAGGTAAGTGAGTTAGAGTGATTAATGAGAGGCTGATGCCTGTGAGGATTTTTACGATCCAGACAGATAAACTTTATCAGTCTTATTGCTAAGTATTAGGCTCCAGTGTGTCTTCCATATGTGATGATGCTATGACCCAACATTAAGCAGCTCATGTGCTTTCAAGTCAACCTTCCTCTATTATCTGAAGCTAAGTGAACAGCGCCATTAAGGATTTGGTTTACCACCATAAAAAAACATAATAAAGTGTAGTTTGAACCTACAATCATGAACAGGGCATTCCACTTTAACAAAATGAATTGGTTAAAGTCAATTCATTTCAAATTAGCTACTCAAAAATTCTAGTTTAGAAAATATTTAGGATTACATCTGTATAGATAGGCCAATTAAGTTTTAGAATTGAATCACAACATAATAGTCAAATTAGGAAAGATTTTAAAAAACACAGGAATCATCATTAGGAGGAAAGAATATTTAATTAGAAATATGTTATGCTTGTTTATACCACAACTGGAAGCAATATTAACACTGTTTTTTAATAAAGTCTTATAGTAAACTAAAAGTTTCTTTTCTGTTCAATTTAGCAAGCAATTAACTCTAAATTCAGAGTACATATCTACTTGTTAAGATATGATTTTCCAGGCTGAAAACCTGGTCTTGCTTTTTCAAAAGATGAAGATGTGATTTTGTCTGATGCTGAGTGTAAAATCAAAGTTCTCAGCTATGGCAAAACTCTCCTTTGTGCTAAGAGTGCCACCAACAGCCATGTGTCCCATCCCCATTGCCATGGACTAAGGCATCTACTCCAGAATCTTCCTGAACACTCCATACTCTTTGCTAAGCAAATCAGAAATACAACCTAATGTTGCAGTTGGTATGCGGTCTTGGGCCAACAGTATTGCACTTGAAATATTATACCTCCTATAGAAGCCAGTCTACTCTAAATGATCTTGGAAGAGAAACGCATTAAGAACTTTCTTGGTAAGAATAAACTAATTAGGCTTCTATCTAACTTTCATGTTGTCATATAGCATACTGAAGAGTCAATATGGCATTGGGGTCAAGAGTATGTACTACAGGAACCAGAATGCCTAGATATGCTCTTAGCCAAGTTATTATAATTTTCTGTGTCTCAGTTTCCTGACTTGTAAAATAGGAATAACAATATTAGTACTTATTGTAAAGCATGCTTTCTCAATGAGGGCAAATATGGTTCTTGGGGTGGGGGGAAATGCATGTGACAAAAAGTTTTATTATCTTTAGGAACAAAGCAAGGACATACAGACAGTACGTTAAGAAATACAAGCTATTTTTGAGGATATATTGTACTTTTCATGAAAAGTACAATCAGGAAAAAAAAGTCTAAAAAGGCTCCTTGTGGGGCAATTGAAAAAAAAAAGTTGGGAAGATTAAAGTAGGCAATATACGTAAAAGCATTTAATGATATGTCTGGCACATAGTATTTATTGTTAGCTAAAAAGAGGTGTTTTGACTAAATGAAGAAAAAAGCATTAAGTCCAAGTCTATCTAGAAATGCCAATTGAATGTCTTGGAAGCTAAACTTTGATTTTAAAAGGGAACTCTATGGCTCTTAATACGTAGTGACTTACGTGGAAGTGCAACAACTGATATGCAAGGAGTAGAATCATCAATACTCTGATCATCCTCAGAGGACAAACAAAGCCTCTTATGTGGAGGTTCAATACTATCTTCTGAGTCTATTTCATCCGCTTCTAATGGAAGAAAACAAACAAATAAAAATCTCAAAAATTTCAAACCAATGAGGGAAAACAAAATTTCTAATAATGGTTCTACAACTTTTTTATCTATTAAAAACATTTTCTTACCAATTTGCTCATTTAACTAAACCTAGTTGTGCAAACAGGATTCAAAAGGACACTGCCTTTCTATGCCTACCGCAGTATTCAACTCCTGAAGGCGGTCTCTCAAACGTGAAAGAGAAGGGAAGCCCGGGGAAAACTGCTACCTCTCTTGGCAGTAGAAGCAGTATGTGCAGTGACATGGAGGTATGAGAAGCTTAAGGTACAGGTATGTTAGGAAAATAAAGATAGTGTGATCTGCTGGAACACAGGTATATGAAATGTGGCAGGAGGTAAGACTATGAGGAAAGCAGAAACGACTGGAGACCTATGGGCCAAATTAAAGAACCTGTACTATATTCTAAAAACCTTGGGAAGCTTTATGCTATTAATTGTATCATGAACAATTTCATCAGCTGCTTGAAAGATGGATTATAGGTAGGACACTGGTTAAAAAGCTATTAGAGATACCTAGATGAGAAATGAGAAACTGAACTAACAAAGGAGGGCTTGAAACAGACAGGATGCAATGGATTTAAAAAACCTAATACTATCAAGAAGTCTTCAAATGAAATGATGCAGGTGATGAGAGAAATAATTTATTCCCAACCACATTCATGATCTGGACACTAATGAAATTCACAGAGAAAGGAAAAAAGAGAACTAGGTAATTTAGGAAGTACATGTAAGGATTGTTTGGGATGTATGAAACTTAAGGTGCCTATGAGAAGCACAGAGAATTCTGTATAAAGACAGAGTCTGAGTCATCTTTATAGGTAGGTGCTACTTAAAATTCTGTTTGAATTAAATAACCTAGGAATTATGTACAGAGTGAGAAGAGAAGACAGAACCTAGGTTGAGTAAAGATGAACTTAAGAGCACAATAAATAAATGACATAAATAATGAGCAAGCAGAGGAGTAACAACAAAATTATCAGCTGGAAGGCTACTGATTCTTAATTCATTGTAGATCATCATATTAAGTCATATTCAAATGACTGTGTACAATTCTTTAACACAGGTTCTAACAAAAAAGTCTATTTGCATTGAGGAATAATTCTACATTTCCTAATGAATTAAATATACTGCTGGTACCACTTAGTATAAAAAAATAAGTATATATTATAGTTATTCCATCATTACCTTTGGGGGCTCAACATCCTATTTATAACATAGTAACAAGATTGACAAAAGCTAACATTTATATTAAACTCATAGGCACCTAGACCTCTATTTGGGCAATAGGGGTCAAAAGTGATAAATAAATTCAGAGAGTCAGAATTATATATCAGCAAGTTCTCCTACCATTCTGAGGGCAGTGAAGAATGAGATTCCCTTCTGTGTCCTGAGTCAAAGTCACAGAATTCACAGTTTCTACTGTTACTGTGTCAGAATCCTCTTCCACTGTGCTCATACTCAAATCTGTACAAGAACAGATTCCAGATCAGGATTTCAAAATTTATTCCCAGATATGAAGTATTCCCTTATAATCCCCTGAAATACCACACATATTTATTTGGGTATCTGCCTACAGTGTTCTTCATGTAAAATTGCAATGAGAGTTCAGATTTCAAAAACTGCCTTTCATAAGTTTACACCCATTATTTAGAATTAGATATCTGCAAGAATCTGTTTGCTCTGATAAATTTTAAAAACCTACAACATTTATAATACTTAATGTTTTTGCCACATCCAACCAAAGAGAATCTGTCTTATCAGCAAAAGTCTCACCACTTTTTGATTGTGTTTTTATGGACAGCTTTGTAGGTGCTTCTTTTTCTTTAGCAGAAGATTCATCAAAATTTTTATCTTAAGAATTATTTTTCCAAAACATTTTTTACAGGTATTTAAGCTCTATTATCTGAAACACAGGAACACTAAATAATTCTTGCTATGTTCTTTTCAAAATATTGAAAAAGTACATACATCCATCACTGACCAAATTGCAATTTTAAGAGATGAGTTAGTCCTTCTTTTGAAACAGGTAACTTTGAACATTGTTCAAAGTATCCTTACCTGCTATTTTACACAAATATTATTTTCCTCTTGTTCAGACAGATGGAATAATTAGTCTTGGAATATAATATCTCATGGCTAGCGGGGGGAAAGGCATGACACTATAGTCAATAGCCTGGCTGAAGTCTTCAGAAATACCTTATAAGGTTTAAAGAGGTTCTTGCCTCAATACTCACTTTTGGCACGTATGTTTTACCAACTAAATAACACAGAGGACATAAACCGTGATATAATTACTCAATGTTTATTAAGTTTTTTTTTTTTTTTTTTTTAAGAGAAGGGGTCTTGCATTGTTGCCCAGGCTGGAGTGCAAAGGCTATTCACAGGCACAATCTTAAGTGTACTAGAGCCTTGAACTCCTGAGCTCAAGTGATACTCCTGTCTTAGCCACCCGTGTAGCTGGGTACAGGTATGTGCCAACATGCCTGGCTCTCTCTGGCTCCTATACACAAGATATTAGTCCATTCATACATTTACCATTGAAGTGAATGTATTTTCCTTTGACACAAAAACTTTTAACATTTACATGGTGAAGATCCAATAATTCATTAAAATTTTACTATACAAATTACTATGTGAAAAGGACATCATTCATTTTACAATAGTAATTATGCCATTCCCAAAATAAAGGTAAATGGAAATCATGATCTAGTTTTGACAAATTTGCAAATCATGTGACGTCCTTGCAACAAAAGCAGACTTACCTAGACAACGGATGGATCAGCTACAGCCCTTCCCACAGAATCAAGTTGCCTTCCCTTAGCCACCAGCATCACTTTCATGTTATCCAGATTGTTTCTCTCCCATGTTCCTATCTCTGCAACACTCTGAAAAAGTAACAGCATTACACACAATAAGGTTTAATAAGAACAAATGAATAGTATAGCAGTATGCTGATGACAGTCTAGGCTCAAGCCTCTGTGATATCTCATCTCGAAGAGTAAGACAAAACCAGACTTCTTTTTTAAGTAGAACTTTTGGATATTAGCCTCTAAAAATATTCCCCAATGAAGAAAGGACAGAACTGATGACTATTCACAGTTAGTTTCTTAACCCAAGTGGCTCTCATCAGGCAGACAAACGTTCTCTGAGAGAAAAAAAAAAAAAAAAAAAAACAGGCTCAGCTATGCTAGTGGTTCTATGAACTGTAGACTGTGGTACCATTATGTAACATGATGTGTATTATCAATCAATACAGTACCATAAATATTACCAGTAACTATAGTTTTTCTTTATAATTATTAATACCTCTCTTTATGTTTTATCTTAAAGCATAAAGATTATATAATACCCTATTCATTCAGAAAACCCTTTTAAGATGACAGGTGAGCAACCCTATCTAGGAATCTGTGTGTGAGGTGGGACCTTAAACAATTACACCAGAGAAGACAAATTACAAGCTCTTGAAAGCAATGTGAAACCTTATGAAATATGAAATGGTTTTTAAAGGTTTCTTTCAATAAGCTTCTCATCTTTATCCTCGAAAGCCAACCAGAGCTTTAAAAAAAAAAAGTACAAGATTTGAGGTTCGAGGGGATGTTTCAGCAAAAATTAGGGATTACAATTCTAATTTTTTCAGCATTCTAATTAGATCCTCTTTGCATTTTCAGTGAAAAAGGTACAGACCCTGCTGGAGAAACATTAAGCTATTGGATTTCATGTTTCATGTTGCTATTTCTGAATCAATTTTTTAAAGGCTGGCTTGTTAGTAATACCTACTGCAAAAGATGGGGGAAAGAAATGTAAAAAAGTTAAAAAAAAAAAAAAAAGGTTAAAATCATCCATAAACTTTCCAAACAGTTTTTTTTTTTTTAAATTTATTTATTATTATTATACTTTAAGTTGTAGGGTACATGTGCATAACGTGCAGGTTTGTTACATATGTATATTTGTGCCATGTTGGTGTGCTGCACCCATCAACTTGTCATTTACATCAGGTATAACTCCCAATGCAATCCCTCCCCCCTCCCCCCTCCCCATGACAGGCCCGTGTGTGTGATGTTCCCCTTCCCGAGTCCAAGTGATCTCATTGTTCAGTTCCCACCTATGAGTGAGAACATGTGGTGTTTGGTTTTCTGTTCTTGTGATAGATTGCTAAGAATGATGGTTTCCAGCTGTATCCATGTCCCTACAAAGGACACAAACTCATCCTTTTTGATGGCTGCATAGTATTCCATGGTGTATATGTGCCACATTTTCTTAATCCAATCTGTCACTGATGGACATTTGGGTTGATTCCAAGTCTTTGCTATTGTGAATAGTGCTGCAATAAACATACGAGTGCATGTGTCTTTATAGCAGCATAATTTATAATCCTTTGGGTATATACCCAGTAATGGGATGGCTGGGTCATATGGTACATCTAGTTCTAGATCCTTGAGGAATCGCCATACTGTTTTCCATAATGGTTGAACTAGTTTACAATCCCACCAACAGTGTAAAAGTGTTCCTATTTCTCCACATCCTCTCCAGCACCTGTTAGAATGGCAATCATTAAAAAGTCAGGAAACAAACAGTTTTTCATACTCTTTGGTGTAGTTCCTTCCAATCTCATCTCCCGGTGTATTGTGTGTCTGTGATTATAGTGTATTCTGCAATTTTATATCCTGCTTTTTTAGAATTTGCTCAGACTGAAGTGTGTGAAGGAAACCAAGGTAGGCATCTAACGAAAGTTATTACTTAAAACTTACACTGTACCAGGCGTGGTGGCTCACCTTTGTAATTCCAGCATTTTGGGAGTAGGATCACTTAAGCTCAGGAGCTTGAGACCAGCCTGAGATAATGAGATCTAGTCTCCAGAAAAAAATTAGCTAGGTGTGGTGGTGTATGCCTATAATCTCAGCTACTCTGGAGGCTGAGGTGGGAGGATGGCTGCAGCCCAGGAGATCAAGGCTGCAGTCTGGGTGACAGAGCAAGAACCTGTCTCAAAAATAAAAAAGCAAAAAATAGAGCTTGTGCTGCAATAAAAAGTGTGACATTATTTAACAGTTATCCTATTACTGGACGTTTATGTTGTTCCCAATTTTTAATTTCCTTAAACCATACTGAAAAACATATTTTTACATTCCATTTCCTTGAATATTAGTAAATAAAAATTGTTAAAGGATATGACAAAATTTAGAACTCTTCAATCATACTGCAATATATTTTCCCAAAAGTTGCACAAATTTATATCCCAACCATTGAAATGTAAACTCTACTCTTGGTAATCTTGCCAATAGTTATTTCAGGACCCAAGTTAATCCACAACATTGGGAAAAGAACAGGAATCCTGGCTTCTTTTTTAAAGTTCTACAACTCAGGTTAGAGATTAGTGAATGATTTTATGCTACTTCGTAAATTAACAAGCTTATCTGTTCAATCAACAAATATATCCAAATATATTACCTCTACTATACGCAGGTACTGGGGATATAGTCGCTTTGTTTTTATGCTGTCATCTTTTTTTGTGGTTTTTGAGATGAAGTCTTGCTCTGTTGCCCAGGCTGTGTAGTGCTGGATCTTGGCTCACTGCAACCTCCACCTCCCAGGTTCAAGCAATTCTCCTGCCTCAGCCTCCCGAGTAGCTGGGACTACAGGCACGTGCCACCATGCCTGGCTAATTTTTTGGTATTTTTTAGTAGAGATGGGGTTTCACCATGTTGGCCAGGCTGATCTCGAACTCCTGACCTCAGGTGACCCACTTGCTTCGGCCTCCCAAAGTGTTGGGATTACAGGCGTGAGCCACTGCACCCAGTCCCGATATCTTTAATATGTTCTTGATTCACTTTTTTCCCCCTATAGCCTGAGCTATGTGGTCAGTACATTTATTAATATTTAAGAAACTGACCTAGTTTCACTTTTAATGGGTAACACACACAGTTCAAAATTCAAAAGGTAGGTTTTTATTAATATTAGCATTAATACTAAGATTATATAAGGTATCTAAATGAAGATGTTAAACTGAAAGTTAAATATATAAAACTAGAGTTCAACATGCCAGGATTAGAACTATAAATCTTAGGGGCATACACATTGTTTTTAAAGATTTCTTAAAAGAGGTTAGAGAAGACAGCCTAGATTACAGTTCTAGAGCACTCTACTAAATCTGGGAAGTCAAACAAAGGAGAATAAGAAGGACTAGCTAGAGATGAGGGAGAAAACCTAAGACGTGTTAACTAAGAAGCACAAGAGGGTTTTTTCAATGAGCATTAAGTAGTCAACTATGTTGAAAACTGCTGAGAGGGTAAGATAACTGAGAAGTGACTATGTAATCTGGTAATATGGAGAACAACTGGTGCCTTTAACAAAAGCAGTTTTGGTGGGAGTAGTAGGGGCAGAAGTCTTACTGAAATAAGTACAGAATTAGAAGTAGGGAAGAAAAGACAAACTATAGGCCGGGCGTGGTGTCTCACGCCTGTAATCCCAGCACTCTGGGAGGCCAAGGCAGGCAGATCACCTGAGGTCAGGAGTTTGAGACCAGCCTGGCCAACATGGTGAAACCCTATCTCTATTAAAAATACAAAAATTAGCCGGGTGTGGTGGAAAGCGCCTGTAATCCTACCTACTTGGGAGGCTGAGGCAAGAGAACCGCTTGAACCCAGGAGGTGGAGGTTGCAGTGAGTCAAGATTACACCATTGTACTCCAGCCTGGAGCAAGGCTTCGTCAAATTAAAAAAAAAGAGAAAAGAAATGACAACCTACAGATACTTTTTTCACGAAGTTTAGCTTTCAAATTAGAACAAAAGGACCAAGTGCAGTCAAGATAGTTGTTACACAGAATACAACTGTATTCTGATGTTGGACTGAGAAATATTGGTGAATAAATCAAATTGTGATAGTGGGGTACAAAGTTTAGTAATTTAGTGCCTGTCTTCTAATTGATTATACATAAACCTATGGTTAATAACTTCTGGAATCCCTCCCCATTTGGTTTGTCAAGAAAATAGGAAAATCGCCAACTCTGCTATCACCTTTTTGGTCCTTTTTGGAGCAAAACAAAGACAGTCATGTACCACAGAACATTTTGGTCAACAGAGTGCATATACGGTAAGTCTGTAAGATGACACCACCATATTTTTACCGTACCTTTTCCATATTTAGATATGTTTAGATACACAAATACTTGCCATTGTTAAAATTGTAGTATATTCAGTACAGTAACATACAGGTTTGTGTATTTTCTATGATGCTCACACGAAATCACCCAAACTGCATTTCTCAGAACTCTGTCATTAAGCAACACATGACTGCACATCAGCTCTTTTCAATTTTCCTTCTTTGTAATGGGTTATACCATATGTACTATTTTTACACTAAAACGAGAAGATATGGAATAAAAATAAACACAATTTTAACAGCTATTTTAACTGATGTGGCATTTTCGCATGTTTTCATCGTTTGCTGAGTATCTTTAAATAGCACGATACCTTAGTAAATTAAAGGAAAAAGTACCTGAGGGTAGCAGCAAATCTAAATGCAGTTAGGAAAACCATGGAAGATCTGCTTGAGATTTCAAGAATTTTGAATACATATGAAAATTTTGTCTATTGGTGTACAGCTTTATGACCAAGGAATTCAGCTTTGTCATCAGTTATTAGAAAGCTGTGCAAGGAATTGGTTTTATCCATAGCTTTATCAGTGGAGGGCCGCTTACAGAAAGAACCATCAGACGTGTTTATATAAATTTTTTTTAACAGCCCTAATGCTTTGGCATTGCTGTTTATTTATGCACTCCTTATTTATAGCTTTGATAGCTTTAATTTTCTAGTTTATCATGTCCCTATCTGAAAAATGTAGTTGTATGCCTTGACATTTCCATTAAAAACTTGAATTTTGAATTATTTAACTATGGAATTTGTTACACTAGGCTGAAAGTTGACAGGATTTCAGCTACCATATGTAAATTTTCATTTAGATTATGTATCTCATAGTCTTGTTTTTTAAAAGAACAGGGGAAACATTTCTTGTAATCTGCTGTTTAACAAGTTTTTTAAAGTTTGTCAGGCAGTTAACAGTGAGCCAGATCATTTTTGTATTGATTGAAAAACTTAGGCTTCAGTATTAATGACAGAGCTTAGCTTAGCATTACTTGTAGTTTGAATCATTTAACTCTAAGGAAAATATTGGTTAAGAATGTTTTCTAAGTTTTATCCCCTATAAATGAAGACCTAAAAAAATGTATAAAATGAAATACAGTGAATGTGCAAAATGCCAGTTGACTGTTATTACATAAAATTTAAATGTGTACTTAATAAATCTTGAGTGGTTACTTGATAAATCACTAGATAGGTGGTATGTTTCAACAGTTATTTAATGCTTTCTGAAGAAATAAGAATTTCTGGTCATTAAAAACTAATATGTTCTGCATCAAGAATTATGGCTTTCTAAAATTATTTTAACTCTTCAAGTTTCAACTCATTGATAACTCAAGAATTTTAGAAAACTTAGGATAGCATTCTGTTCCTGTAACGATCTCAATGAAGTTTTTTTGCAAGACTAAAATGTATTTGATTTGTTCCTTAAATTATAGATTTTGTTAGATGCCATTTAACTAATGGTACAGAATTCTCTCCTTAGCAGCATTTTGTTTTTCAGACAAGCTGAAGTGGTTTTAAAAAGACTGAGTAATATTTAAATTACCTTTTAGACCTCTTTTAATCATTGAGTTTTTAAGCATGTGGCATCTTTAACAAGTACATTGGAAGGTTTATTATTGACAGAACAGGTTGGGATACAATAAGGACTTGGGATAAGTCATTTCATTAATAATCACTACAAATGCTGTGTGTTTTAATTTATAAAACCAGAGAGAACAGCTTCTGCCAAACTTCAAAATTTGTCTATACTTCTGGGTCATGAAAGTTGATAGTTTTATTTATGACTACTTAGATTGTTATTTATGCATTAAAGCAGGAAAATATATTGAGAATTATGTTTACAGTGAACTTCTTTAATGCATATTTCTTAAAACATAAACATACTTTTAATGCATACTTAGTATTTTAAAAACCAAACAAAACAATTACACAATTGCAGGTTTGTACATACTGTCAATGACAAAAATAAAACCATTGTGGTGCCTTGAAAAAAAAACCACACAACCTTAACTGTGGTACAAAACTCTTATCATGAAGTCATTGTGTCTTCATTATAATACAATCTTATAGCTTCCAAATGAAAAAGATGACCCTATTTAACACACTATAACCTGGAAGGACAAAAAAGGATAAGCATAAAGATATAACTCTTGGATCTGTTATTTAACACAGAATTCAATTAAAGAAATGAGTCATTCATGCTATTCTTCCTTTCAGTATTGATGTAAAGTTCCTATCCAATGGGTTATCTTAGACTGGTATTTCCATCAATTGAGTCTACCTATCACCCTGATTTTCCTGGGTATTTAAGTGTTGAATATCTTCTAAAAACCAGAATCAAGGAATAAAGTCACCTTTCTTCCCAGTTTGGGTGGCTAATTCTGTAAACAGATGTATACTCATTTCCAAGTACAGTACTGACACAAGTATGGAAGAGTTTAGATGCTATTAGTGTCAATCTTGAGAAGCATAGGAACCAACATTTGCTGACCATAGATGCTTGGAGCTGTGCTTCTAAAATGGAACATGGGATGAGACATGATATAAAATATTCCCTATTTTAATATACTCACTTTATACTGTGAAATCTTGCAAGCTACAGAACATACAGCACCACAATTTTATTAGGTGAGTTAAAGACTGAGAAACATTGGCTGAGAAACAGTCTCTGGCATAATTCATTTATAAGGCAATAAGGACAGTTTTCAGATGTTTTTTTCTCCTGACCCAATACAGTACAAGAAAAATCATCCATATTCTTTCTGTGTGATTTGCAAGTCTTCTACCCATGTATCAGCATGCCTATCTTTTATTGTTTTCACAATATTAAGATCGTACTGTCACATCTTTTTTGTACTTACTGTATCAGGAGCATTTTCCTGTATCATTACTACTCTACATTTTGAATGGGCACATAGATCTAAATTTATCTAATTCATACCTATTACTGAACATTTGTTTTTGTGGCTATGTTATTATAAAACTCCAAATGGACTATCACCCTATCATTGAATAACTAATGTTTTAAAAAAATACTTAAAAGAGAATTTGCTTAGTAACGTCTAAGGAATTTGGAAGATATTTGCAGATAATTTTATTTTGAAATAATGAAAGTCTGCTAAGTAGAAAATCTTAGTGGAAGATAATAGGTAACAAATTCATACATCATGAACATGGGTACACAGAGGGCTGTCAAACAACAGGTAAGGTCATAGAATAAGCATAACATCTTCATTAAGTACAAACTTTATTCAAGACACGAATAGGAACACTACACACTTGAAGAAGAATGTTTTGGACTATGGTGTCAGGCCCCGTGGGATTTGTTCCTCTATACACTTTGTGGAAAACTTTGAGCAGCAGAGCCATAAATGAACATAAGGCATATTCAATTAAGGTACCTAATTAACTTTTACTATGGCTTGGTTTTAAGATGGTAAAATATGACTATGTATCATAAAAATGTCAATACAGCTGTTAGTGGAGTCTATTCTAGCAGGCTTTAATGGCTTAAAATGTTTATTTCAATTATCAACTATTGAAAACAATGTCATTATTACTTGCGTAAGGAGGATTACTTGATAGCATGGATCATTTTAAGGTGCAGCATTTCATAACTGGTTTGACAATAAAACTATATTGCTTATTAAAATGTTATTTTTCACTTCATGTATGGTTCAGGAGCTTATAATGTGTTATTTGGTACACTTGAAAGATTTCATCTATTCAAAACTGAGTACTTTTATACAAGGCACCATCAGAAGCTCTTTAAATGGAAATATACAGTATCACCAGACGCCTGTGATTTACAGTGAATTTTTTTTTTCAAGTTAATTTTTAAAGCACATTTACTCATCAGATACTAAAATATACACAGGCAGTAAAATAAACCTAATGAGCATTTCTGATACATAACACCTGATGGGAAGTGAATGAATCAGCTTTGACCACTGGTGATTGGAAAAATGACCTAACAGTGTACATAATCAAAATGACATTTAAATAAATGAAACGGTAGAAAATTAAATTGTTCATAATGAGTTCCCCAGTGTGCTTTTCCCTGACAACTTATTTCTAGTATTCAGTCATGGAATGGATTATCTTTCTACAAAATTGGGGCGGGGGAAGACATGATAACCACGTTCCTCCTTTTATTTAAACTTATCTACCTTTATAGAATCAGAGCAAACACAAAATCTATTTGTGATTTCTATTACAGGAATTTTCTTCACAAAATGAAAGCACCATCAAGATAAAGGGAGAAATGACACGAAAGCAAACAAATGCCACATACATTTGGTAACTATCTGTATTTTATCTTTACTATTTTGAAATTAATAAAAATCATTTAGTTTACCACTTTCTCGGGTCATCTTATCATTTGGAGACATAAAGGACCTGAAATTGCAAAGCATTTAAAAGTATATCAATTCCCAGGAAATCCTTTCATATGTGAAAAATATGGTGGTAAGAAAAAAAATGGACTATTAAAATGAAAACTCCATTCTGGAAAGGCAAAATAACACCTCAGTGTTAAATATGCAGTCTCTACATATGATATTAAAAAAAGTAGAATGAACCCTCCCTAAACTTAGTTCCTTTCTAAGCTTTTGATGTCTTTGCAACAGACAGATGTGTGTTTAATACAAGTGATGCAAGACGTCAATACTTTCAAAAACACTTCTAAGCTCTCTCAATATTTTAACATCTATGTGCCAGGCAGTAAATCCTTAGGGAACACTTGTTTCACATTATCGCATTCATCCTCACAGGTGTTAATTTAAGCCAATGCACTTAATGAAGCATGGCAAAAGCAACTGTTTAAAATAATGAGATGTTGTTTTCAGGACATGTAAGTTTATTACACCATTAATAAAAACTAGAGTCTGTAGATGTTGGAGAGATAAATGAGGCTAATAGAAAGGTAAGATTTTTGCGGAGAAAGTAAAGGCAAGATTTTGTGATTTAAATACTAACCAATGATATCAAACTAACCTTATAAAATACATACACTATCTCCCCACCTTTAAAGCACCCCTGGGGTGTAATAAGATAACTAAAGCACTGAAAAACGAGATCTCTAAAAAAAGGACTAGAGGACAGCTACCTATTTTTGATATGATTCTCTACCAGTAAACATTTCCCAGCCATGCTGTTTTCGAAGCTCAAGTCATAACCCCCAAACTTTGATTTCTTCCCCTTAAAATACTTCTAAAACCTGAACACTCAAGAGAAAAATGTTTACATAAAATAATGTATTCATATAACTGCAAAGTATGAACTTAAAGTTCTAAGAAAGATGCAATGCCCAGTACTTACTGATTAAATGTTGATGAAGACAGGGCAATAGCATTTTGGCTCCACCATTAGCTCAACTGCAACCAATTAAAGAGATTCACGCAGAATATGCAGGTGCTAAATCAGTCCCAAAAAGCATATTTTGGGGTGAGCCTATCAACTAAAATAGTAAGAAAAAAAATTAGCTTGTTTGGTGGCATACAGAAGTATTGGGAGTTAAAATGAGATAAAAATCACCATAAATCATTAAATGTATTTTTCACACCTATAACATAATGGTTTTTTTCCAGAAACAATCAGGCTGGTTTTCGTGCTTTGTGTACGGAAGAAAAAAACTATTCTCACACCAAACTGGATTGTCTCAGCATGACAATTTTTGTAACGTTAAGGAAGGTAGTTTTAATCTTTTTTCTCTAAATCTTAACAATTTCTAAATCCTAACCAAATAAATCTTGTCTCTAGTACACCATAAGAGCAAAAAGATAAGATTTTGGTGTACCGCCATAGTCATTCTCTAAATGTTAAAGTGATGGTAAATTATTCAAATTATTAAAAGACAGTAATCCTCAGAAAGCTATTTGAAATATAAATTCAAAACTAGCTTAAAGAAATTTGAAGTAATGAAAAAATATGAAACCCTTAACTGAAAAAAACAGATTTTGTAATACTTTCAACATAGTAGAATAATATTTTCGTATTTGGACTGGAGCTTTATAGTTTTCTCCCACGAATTAAAAATACAGGTATAACTTAAAATTTTCCAAATGGCATCACTTTAAGACACAAGACACGTCATATTAAAAAATAATTCTACAGAATATGCATTTTTGTAGGACGTCCCAACAAGCAGCCTCGCCTGTCAGAAAGGAGGCACACGTACAAAAATCAAATCCATGTACATTAAAAAGAGGTACACAAAGATGAATCGAGTTGCGAAAAAGGCAACTACACAAATTCAATGAGAAAGGGAGGAGTCCTGACTCATAGACCGAATATTTTATATAAAGACATATGCTCTATCATTCAACTGCACAGAATGGCACTTGGCCACTTCTCTCAAATCTGCTCTGGAGATTGTGGTAAAACATTCTATATACCTCCCTGAAGAAATTCTCAAAGCGAAGTCCATTTTAGAGAACAAAGTGGACTTAATTTTAGGAACTTTCTCGGAACTCGGCACAACAGAGTAATTACTACTTTACAGACGCATTTTCCGTGCTCCACCAGGGCTCTGTCCCCGCGCCCCAGCCCACATCCCTTCTTTAAAGAGACTCAAACTGACAGAGACGGTTCGGCCAGCTACCCGATTCTCTAAGTCTGGGCCGTGAATCGCCGAGCAAGGCTGAACCCCCGCAAAATTACAGAAGAATTTAAAGCGCAAACGAGGTAAAAGAACAACAAAAAAAGCAAAGGAGGGGAAGTTGGGTCGAGACCCGCCCCCACTCTCTCAACCCCACCCAAGCCTACCTCTCCTACGCTGAACCATAAAACAAAACCGAAAACGTAACAAAAATACAAATTTTAAAAAGAACATCACAAGAAAACAAGTAGGGCTTCTTTACTGTCTCCACTCCCTCTGGCCCAGTTCTCTACCCAACCTCCCGGCCCACCCCACCCCCCAGGGGTCCCGGCGCCATTTAGCTCCTCCGAAGCCGCCGCCATTTTCCGCCCCCGCCGGATCGCTGCTGTGCCTCGGCGGCCGCTCGCTTCCCTACTCTGCAGCCTGAGCCACGGGCGCCGCCCGGCCCTAAGAGGGAGGCCCTGGCCGGAACGTGCGGGGACGGCAGCTGCAACGTCAGGAAGGCCAGGCTCCGACCCCGCCCGCAGTGCCCCGGCGCCGACAGCTTGCGCCAGCCGGCGGGTGCTAGCGGGCAGCAAGGGGGCCGGACAGGCTCCACTGGGCGGAGCGGCCCTGACGGCGGTTGGGACCTGAAGGTTCCATCGCACTTACTTCCTGTTTTGGGTCCGGGCACTTTGGAAGAACCAGGATGGAGGCTCCAAAAAATACCAGGATGGAGGAAGCAGCCACGGGCGAGAGTGGCTGCAGCTGGAGTGAGCGAGCGCGACAAGCCACCGGAAACGGAGCTGCAGCCGCGCCCCGCCCCCAGCTCCCCGCACGCTGCCCCTCCCGCTCTTCTGTCCCGCGGGCGGCCCCGCGCGCTGTCTGCACGCGTCACTTCCGGCCGTGTCGGCGCGCGAAAAAAGTTCTTGGGTTGGAACGTTGATACTAGTCTGTGGCGGTGTTTGTCGGCTGTCCTTCTCTGCTACGAAATCTCGGCACTGACTGTCCCATTGCTGATGCTATAAAAGAGGTCCTTCTGCTATGACGCAACTGTGGTTCCTCTGGTTCTGGGGACTTATGCCCCGCGTGCCGATTTTCATAGTTCCATGTGGCTCCGAGCCGAGGGAGCCGCGGTGTGGAAAGAAGGGAACCGATGATGTCAGTGCTGAAGAAAACGGAGTGTGTGTCTTCATGCTTGATTTCCCTTGCCGCAGGGGCTTAAAATGAGATGTCTGGGCGTGAGAAGTCGTTCTTGATGAAATGTGTCCTCTGCGAGTGTGGTCTCGCTGTTAGACTTGGAAGATACTATTTTGCTGTGCCCAGTTCCTCTTGAAAGTACAGATGCTCCTTGGGTTGCGATTTCGTTTTAATACCCTTATAAACGAAAAGGATAAGCCTTTGGGTTCTGTAATGTGAGCCAGCATTCTTTGAGTACTTACATGTCAGGTAAATATTTTACGTGTATTAAACTCATTTAATGTTCATAAGTGCTAAGTGCATCGCTGCATTATTACAAATGAATCACATTTTACACAGGAACCGAAGAGAAGTGAAGGAATGTGTCCAAGGGCTCCCAAGTTGGCGGTGGAATTAGAATTGAAGCCTCAGCTCCAGAGCCTGTGTTCTGAACGACCCGGTTGCAGCTCACAAAATACACTTTGGCAGTACTTTCATAACGAAAACAAATGATTACAACTAGTTTACAAATGCTTTACTTTACTGGAGGATCGACATGTTTGACTGATTTTCAAAAATAAATGTCAGAAGCAGCATTTTCTTGTGTTGATAACTTTATTACTAATTTGTGGCACTCTGCATTCTGTTGGAGTTAACCTGTATATCATTCCATTTTTTAATAAGTACATAATAATGTTTATGTAAGCAAAACTATGAGGCAGAATAGTATTGTGGTTTGGACTCGGCAGTCAGACCTGAGTGTGAATCTTGGCTCAATTTCTTAGTAGTGGATATGGCACTTCACCTCTTTTAGCTTCGTTTACTTTAGAAAAATGGGAGTAATAAGACCTACCCTCCAGACAACATATTTTGCATAGAACCTGACATGTATTAAGCATTAAAAATGGAAACTAATAAACCTTAAAGCCAGAAAAGCAATACAACTACTCAAAGAGCAGTTCTAATAAAGTAATAATTACATATGCAAAATTGTTGACATTAACACTGATTAGAAGGTGATTCCTAATGAGCCACATTTTTTCATAAGACATAACCATATAGGATTCTTTTTACTAAGGCATAAAATAGTGATATATAAATTATAGTCGAGCTGTCCATTCTCTTCTACTAAATTTTAGGTCAGCCTGCACCCTGCTAATTCCCCCCAAAAAGTCAAGTTCATCCTCATAACTAAATTCTCCCTTTCTGGTTGAGTTTGTTTTATAACAACCTTTTCCCAAGTCAGTTGGTATTTATTTAGGGATGACAAGTGTATTTTAATATTAATACATAATTTTTAAAAAAAGTAACATCTCTATCCCTTTAACTTGAATAATCAATGTAAAGACTATCCATAACACAACTTGATTCCTAGAGCAATTTTCTGCAGTTCTACTTCTATGTTATCCGTACCTCATTACCTAGTCAATGTGTACCTAGGGAATGGATGAGGTTTTAAATATTATCCAAGGATTTACCTATTTAGGAATTAAATGTTTTGTAGAAAAATCATTAGAAATATTTCTATCCTAAATAATTATGAAAGTATTTATAGCATAGCTATGGTATTTACTGCATTTGCTAGTTAAAATTGACTTTGTTGAACTCCAGATGTTTATAACACTTTCATGAACCTCATCAGTTATTGAATGATGATGAAATTGCCTTTTATGACAGGTTGATATATTAATATAAAGTATTTCAAATACTGAGAAGCAGGTTCTGTTGGTTCATGATCCTCTCATGCTAATTCAGAAAAAAGATGTTTATAAGCTTTTGTTCAAAGTAAAAGAAAACTACAATTACTGAGTAATTTTCTTTCTACACAGTCTCTGAGTCCTGTTAATACAGCTGATGGGGATTGCTGTGCTAATGGAGGAATGAATAAACTGTCCAAGTGAAGCCCACGCAACAGGCTTTACCAGGTGGTCTCCTGTCTCAGATTCTTCTTGTAGGCTTCCCTCTGGACCTTAGGACACTCCATCTTACAATCCTTTTCCCGCCTTGCATTTTGCTTGTGTATCTCATCTCTACGATTCTTTTAATACCTCAGCTAGGTGACCACCTCTCTATGTCCACTTCACTTTTTTCTTCTTTTGTGGTAAATCTTTGTTGAGAACTATTGATAGAATATTAGCCAAAAAAGTGTTTCCTTATCAAGGGAATGGAGAGCTAAGGCTTCCAATACTCCTAGCCAATAAGGATAAAAATTTTTGTTCTTTGTAATTTTGATGTGCAAAACAAAATAAACAGTTCAGATACTTCATTAAAACAGGATAATATCCAGACCCAGACTCAAAGACCTGTTCCTTTATAATCTAGCATGGAAGAGAGAGGGACAGTATATTAGTTAACTAAGCAATAATTGCCATGTTTTGTAAGTTCTGAGAAAGATACAACTTGGGTGCTCTGAAGTGAAATTTTATAGAGTTCAGAGCAGGCCTTTCTGAGAAGATACTTAAGCAGAAAGGTAAGAATAAACAAGCGTAGTAGGGGGTGCAAGGTGGGAAAGCATTTGTCCAGCTAGTGTATGAAAGCATATTTGCAGAAAGCAACTGGCTTGTAAAATGTTTATAAAATGGTGAAAGCACAGTACTGCCAGGTGATAGGCTGTCCCTTGCAAATGTTAGCTGAATTTCTCAAAAAACTTTATTGTGGTAAGAAGACAACATGACGTCTGCCCGCTTAATAAAATTTTAAGTGTACAAAATATTATTGACTATGGGTACAGTGTTGTACAGCAGATCTCTAGAGCTTATTCATCTTACTTGAAACTTTATGCCCACTGATTACTAACTCCCCATCCCCTCTCCCCAGCCCCTGGTAAACCACCATTCCACTCTGATTCTACAAATTCGACTATTTTAGATACTTAACGTAAGTGAAATTATTTAATATTTGTATTTCGTGACTGTTTTATTTCACTTAGTATAATGTCCTCAAGGTTCATCCATGTTGTTGCATATTGCAGAATTTTCTTTTTTAAAAATTTTTTAAATTTATGTTCTAGGGTACCTGTGCATGAGTTAATGGGTGCAGCACACCAACATTTTCTTCTTTGTTAAGACAATAGTATTCCTATTCCTCTAAGATTAGATAGAGCTCAGTGCATGCCCAGACATAGCAGAAATAGGCCATCTTCCCCCTTTGCCATGAGCTTTTATTTGCTAATATATGCCACAGTACCTTAACTTAGCAGACATTTAAATGTTTGTTGATATTAAAGATAATTGTCTTAAGCCAGAAGACCTGGAAGCTAGCCACTTCTATTCTTTGGCAAGAACAGCTGACTACCGGAGATCACACAGTATTTTTCCAGATAGTGTTGCTACTTGGACAATTCTCGACAAAAGCAAACACGTTAGCTATTTTTCAAGTGGAAAAAAGTTATTTTAACACATCACGTATTTGGTGTTACTCTAAACCTTATTGCTCAAGTCTTGTGCATCTAGGTGCAGTATTTTAAGAACAGAAGCATGTCACTTTAGCCAGCAGATGTCCCTATTGTTCAGCAGTTTTTTTGTTTTTGTTTTTTGTTTTCTTTCCCAAGTAGTAACTTGAACAGTAAATAGAAATCTTGGGGCCTTCATTGTTAATGATATGCTGTGGTAGACCAAGGACAAGCCTCAACAGTAATAAAGCTAAAAGGATAAGGATTATGCTTTGAAATCAAAATATGAGAAAGCTCTCTAGAATTAAAAGACTTGTAGATTAATCCCCTTCCCTTCTATTCACTGTACATTTAATTCCTTTGCACAGAATATGCAGTGAAAGAGGAAGAAACAAGGAACCTCCGTAATGTTTATAACTTTCAGGAGTTTGCACATTTGTGATACACTCGCTCATTTCATTCAGCAGCTCTTCCTGAGCACCTGCTTTGGGCTGAGCACTATTTTAGGCACAGGAAATATGATGGAGAACAAGAGAGACAAGATCCCTGCTCTCAAGGAACATATAGTCTAATGGAGGAGCTTACATTATAGTAGTATAGTGCATCTTTGTACCAAACTTGTTTGGGTAAGGTACTCACTAAATTACTGGCAACTGCCTATAAAACTTGCTTATAATTAACAACTTAATGAAGGATGAAAATAAAATATGAATCAAATTGATAGCAGCAGAAGGCAGACAAATTCCTCCATGGATGGGACAGGTCCCAGTGAAACCTGACCTTCAAGCCAAAGACAGCCTGAAGCCTGAAAACCTGGCAGCCAGTTCCAAGTGGAATCCAGTACCCAGAGTGAGAACTTTCTCAATGCCTTACAATGAATCAAATAGTGCTTTTTCCAGGCCCACCCATGGTCCAATCAGCACACACTTCCTCCCACCTATGGGCCAGTTAACACACACTTCCTCCATTCTGAGCCCATAAAAACCCTGGACGCATCCACGAGTCAACACTACCCGCTTAGGTCCCTTCTCCGGTGAGAGCTGTCTGTTACTCAATGAAACTCTTCTCTGGCTTGCTCACCCTCCGATTATCCATGTAACCTCATTCTTCCTGGATATGGGACAAGAACTCATGACCTGCAGAAAAGAGGACATGAAAAGGGCTATAACACTTTCCTGGCTGGCTCACTGACCAGTGGGCGATGACACGCTCCCATTTGCTGGACTAGGGGAGTGAAGAGCAGCAACTCTTTTGGAGGCCCAGACCTTGGGATTCCCTGAGCCATAGCTGTAACACTATAGCCCTCCTGCCTTCTGCCAGTGTTGGGCAGCTGCCCCACGTGACAGGAAGTAGTGGTGGGGCTGAGCCATCCCAGGAGTGGTGGGCTGGAGTGAGGCAGCTGAACTGAATGAGCTGAAACATGTCCCCACCTTGGTTCGCTGAGCTGCAGGCACTGGGAAAGAGAGCTGTAGCATGACCCCCACCACCCGCCCTTGGAGACTCTGCAGTTGCTGGTGACTCCCAAGTTTTCAGATGCCACCTTGTTCCCTTCGTCCAGACGCTGGTGCCCACAGTGGAAGCCGCTTAAAGTATGCCTGGTCCAGCTGCAGCCACGAATGGAGCAGGTGCCTGTGCTGGTGCCTGGAGCTGCCTGCCCCACTGCAGCATCCAATGTGCCTATCTGTGTATATTGGCCAGACGCTGCGCTCCCTCACTCACACACCCCTCACTGCTTCACGCCTGGCCCGCCATCCTCAGGCATTGGAATCAAGGCTGGTAGTGCGAGCCGAGGACAGTCTGCCAGGCCAAGTGGGCAGAATGAGCCCAGCGGGTGCGAGCGAAACTTAAGCAAGCAGAGATGCTGCCGACCACAGAGGTTTCCGACTGGCGACATGACTTCCAAAGGATCCTGTGACAAAATCACTTGGTATCATCAGATTAAGCTAAATTACTAGTATTAGAAAGGATGGGTCAATGTGTTTCTTCTTTGAAATTTCTGTTTTCATGTTTCTAGGCAAAGTATTTTATGCACAAGAGAAACACATATGTCCTCTTGAATCCCCGTTGGCTGGTGTTCTCTGAATCCCTTTAATAGACATACAACGTATGTATATAAACACGGGCAATGTAGAGGTCTTTCTGAACCTGAAATTGTTAAGAGTTAAGATCTGAACCAACAGAAAACACTGCCAAACATGCTATTTCTCCTCTAAAATTATCTGAAATACCAACCCAGTCTTTTAATACCTAATTTAAGAATTAAATTGTAGTAAGTTGTAGTAAATATAACTATATCAAATTGAATTCCATAGCATAGTACTTTTGTTTTAAGACTGCATCTTAAGTGGGCAGACCTGGCGAAGTCATATAATATGTAATTTGTAATTTAATAAAATTAGGGCTAATAGGATTAGGAAAGGAGAGTTTCTATGGGCTGTTTAGACTTGAGAATAACCTTATTATATATAATCATATTTTGTAATTTCAGCAGTATTATATCTATTTTAGCAAACCTAGGATAAGGAAGATATGTGAATTCAGAAGTCACAGTATCTCTAATGTCTTTTTTTCTGTTTATTTACATTTCTTAACCAGAAATACACATTTGTGTAGAATTTTGGCCTATGTTAATTCAACCTGGTGTAGCAAGACAAGCTGTCGCAGTCATCTTCTGAAATAAGGTGAAACTCCTTTCTCTATCTCTGTTGGATAAGCTCTGTTTTTGTTGAACAGAAGTCTATTTTCATATGATACTGGAATCTTTTTTTTTTTTTCTATTCTTTTGCCAAACAGCTGTCTGCCATGGAATCATTCTCTGAGAACACTCTTGATTTTGAGCCTGTAATAAATTTTCACAAGAATCTCCTCTGTGAAGGAATCCATGGTGCTTTACCATTGTAGACCAATTGCTAGAGAAATATGTGATACAACAATGTCTCATACATAATGTTATAAATAACTGTTATTTGAAAAGGTCACAGTAAATATAGTACTGTATAAGAAATCCGTCTCCTGCAATGGGTAAAACTGAAAATAAATCTGAAGCCTTTTACTTTTAGGGCTTTCCTATCTGTCTTTACTGCAACAATATTTGTGATAAAGTAATAAATTGAATGAAGGATTTTAGATTTCTCTTGGGTAAATGGCTTACAAGTGATGGTAGCATGCAACAAGTGACCAGGGTTTTCCTACCATTCTCATATTCACTTGGTGTTACAATGTAATATTCTTAAATCCTTTATTTATTTGAAATTTTAAATAGAAAAATGGTTGATTGTTTTTCTTTTTATTGTTGTTTAAACAAGTAAAAGATGAAATTCAATTCCAATGAAATCTTAGAAGTCATGGATCATACCCTATAGATTTGCAAGGAATGCAACTGTTTTTCACTCTGTAACAAGCTTTCAGAGTGCT